ATTAAATGTAATGCACATAAATATTTATGATACTTATTTCTATACTGATAAATTATAATTTAACATGATAAATAATAGGATTAAGATTTTCAGAATTTATGGTTTCACCGTTATCATCTTTCATTTACAATTCCTGATTTTACCAAACTGGAAACCTCGCAATATTTCTAAACAAACATATCCATCAATAGGGCTGTCCTCTTGAGCTAACCAGTGTGGTCTATGCACTGGTGGCCCAGGGTGCCTAGACAGTTACTTGAAAAGGCCTCCGTTCCTTGCATTAAGGTAACTGGCCTTTGAGAACTGCACTAATACATTCCATAATAAAAAAAAATATTTCCCCGCACAGGTTCGAATCCTGTCGACTTAATTGTCATAATAAAAGCAAAGGAAATGACGAAACACTGTAGATGCGTGCTTAGATCCATATTGAAGAAGAATTTTGATTGCGTAGTATTTAAAGAACTTGGCGCGTCGAGGCAGTTTTAATTCCATTTTTATTTCCAATTGATATTTGTGGCCACAATCACTTGGTACTCTAGTCGTGCCTTTCCACAGAACATTTACATTTTTGATATTGTTGGGATAGAAAGCAAGCCAGCGAAATTACATCTTAGCACAGTTAGAGAGCAAAAGCTGAAGTGCGTAGTTTAGGAAAGATGGAAGCACGCGAAGAGAAAAGTTTTGGTTTACAATTCGGTGATTGGTCGTCAAGAGGCATCTGGTATTAACGGTTACGTAAGATCGCATGATTCATTTGAATGACGCAATGCAGATAAGTTATTACAATTTTAGAATAGCGAGGAAGAATTAATGTTTATAGTTATATCATAATTCTGATTCATACATTGTTATCTTACATATATATAACACAGATGAGAAGGATTACATGTTTCACTCAAACGTCCATCACAAGTTCTTAAAGTCAGTTAAAAGTTCTGTTTTTTGCTGCGCGCATGCGCAAATCACGTGGTTGTCGTTGAGAGTTTCAACAATCAGTGGGACTCGTTTTACTGTGATGATGATGTTTATAGTTATATCATAATTCTGATTCATACATTGTTATCTTACATATATATAACACAGATGAGAAGGATTACATGTTTCACTCAAACGTCCATCACAAGTTCTTAAAGTCAGTTAAAAGTTCTGTTTTTTGCTGCGCGCATGCGCAAATCACGTGGTTGTCGTTGAGAGTTTCAACAATCAGTGGGACTCGTTTTACTGTGATGATGATTTTAAAGCGTGTTCTGTACTGAATGCAAAGCATCTTGAGGCTTGCCAGAATTTATCTAGTTTTACAGTTACTTGCATTAGCATCATTATAAAACATGTGCTATAAAAATGTTATCGAAAAAAATCTGTTCCTTGGAAATGGAACTTTACAAATTTAAAATTATTCTGTCTCGAATATTCTTTATATATGTGCGTAATCTATAAAATATGTAAAGAAACCGTCTAATTTAAATTTGCAATAGTCTATTCTTTCCCTCATTTTAATTTGAGTACCCTGTCCTAAAAATATTATCTATTTATAACATATCAATCTAAACTGCGGAAAAAAAACAATAAAAACTAAATGAAGAAAGCAGTAAAAAGATACGAAATTTTCAGGAAAAAAGAAATTCGGTTTCCCAAGAAAGAAGCCCCCAGCTATTAGTTTCTTGTAGCGAAGTGAGAATTCGTCAGAAAGAATAACCGTTCAGATTTCAGTTTCATGTAGTGTCTCGCGTGTTTATCGCATTTCATGACAAAGACTTCGTGTAATTCTTTGAACTGAAAAGGACATAAATAATAGTCATAAATAAATGCAAGAATCAATAAAAGCGTGTACATGAAGAGCGCGAATGGCTTTCTTTGGCAAGGCTTCTCTGGTATTTATCGTAGCTTAGGGAATGGTTTTATGTAAACAAAATCATTCGTATGCCAATACTGAAGTGGAAAGTTTAAATTATTTATTTCACTGCTGAAAAGAGTTGATAGATTACACTTCTTTAAGACAGATTCCAGAATTTTTTTTTTTTAGCCCGAATGGGCAATTTGCCCAGAATGACTATTTTTCGCTTTTGCATTTTGCGTTGTTTCACTACAGACGGCGAATGAAGTTTTAAATTGTTGCCACTAAAGATTAGAGCCCTGAATTATATGTAAAGAAATTAAATAATGAAGAATCTGCATAAATGTATGGATGTTTTTCACACTGTGATGAAACAACGGTATCTAGAGCCATCAAATTTTGAATAACGTAATCCTCCACCGAATATGGACATCTGGAACCCCTAATTTGGAATTTGTTTTATTATCGATTTCACATTTTTTAACAATTTAACGGATTTTTTATTAACAAACTCAACTATTTCAATGCGAAAAATGGCAAAACTGAACGAAAAAGAAAACAACCCATATTTATCTCCAGCGCGCTAGACTGCGTATCGGAAATTCTGAAGATATGCTCATTTTAAAATTATTTTGCGATATTACTATTGAATTAAATTTTATAGTTTAAGTGCCAAAAACATATTTAATAAATAAAGGTAAAACACAAAACGTAAAAAGAAAGCCCCTCTAGGCGTAATGTAAAATCTGAAAGCTTTCAGGTTTTTTGTGTTGTTTTATTTTTGCTGTTTTCATTATTTATTTACTATTTGTTTATTTAGGGATTTGATTTAATTCTTCCAACCTTTTTCGTACATTTCGGTCAAGCATTTTGATTCGAAATATATCGAGGAAAATGTCCTTCGTTCCACAAATATTTTCCAATGTTTTTAAACATAATTGACACAAATTTTGCTACCGGCGTTCTGTATGATCGAAAAGTTGTTGTATCATCAAAAATACACTGTGTGTACAGGCACATCTAAGGATCAAATAGTTGTGTGTTTTAAAATATGAAGTATTTCAGGGAATTCATGTGGTCCATACGAAAGGACTGGTTTGAGAAGGAAGATTTCTACTATAGTTGTATTTTGTAATTTGAAATAAAACTATTATACTTCAAAAACAATGGTCCCTTGTTGCCGGAATTGTCTCGCACTAGCTTCGACAAAATCTGATCACTTTAATATGCGTTAAATATTTTTAGTTGAAAATCATATGCAGTTTGACATTATCTTCTCTCAAAACGTGCTGAAATCTACAACACTAGAAAAGATTTTCTGGTAATTCGTTCTAGAGTTCGAATTCCAGTGAATGAGCTGGCTGCATTGGTCGTTTCGTGGCTTTCGCTATGTGTAAAGTGTATAACAGCCAGTTTCCTTTGAAAAGCTCTCCTCAAAGGCATCTCTCCTCTTAGGCAGATAGCCTTCGAGTGCTTTCCCATAATCAAATGAACAAGAGAAGATTTTCTTCCAAATGAAAAGCAAATGTGAAATTATTTATTCGGCAAAAGGATTTGTCTTTGTAGCAAAACAATAACAAAATCAAAGATCAGAATTCATTTTATTTCTTACAGAAAGTCCTTGATATTCCTTAATCTGCCAGGATTTATTATTATCGAAGATTTCAAAGAAAATAATGCGCACTCTATTGTTTTATTTCGAAGATTTGACAGAACTCCATTTTTGATAATTATGCTGAAAATTAAAGGTAAATGAAGCATTTCAAATAAACAACTTCAAATTTTTCATTAAAAGAATTGAAAAGGTAGGAATTTCTTTGCTTATATTAAATTGAAAAAATAGGCTGAGGCTGTTTTTGTAAGGCAAGAAATATATTTAATAAATATCAAAATGTTGATCATGATCAGTTACATCGATCAGTTGAACTTTTAGATATTTAAGCATGCAAAAGAAATTAGCATCACCTCTAGCTCTGGCTTTGACTATCATGCCTATGCCTCTACTCGCTGTCCCACTCTTCATGCAAGGCATAATCCCGATGAAATTTGTTCTTTTTTTATGTTTTTCTATACCCATTTTGAAAACAAATCACAAATTGTCAACAACATTTATGAATGAGGACTGGCTTAGAGAATTTAGTTGTTGCTTATAGTGGTAAAGTATCAATGCAATTATATATCAAAACGGATCTTCCTGATTAGTTGACTGTAAACCCATATCCTGCCATGATTTCTATTTGGGATTTTTTGATGAGATCATGTTCGTTTACAATTGATGCATCCTATTATGAATATATCGAGTTTATTCGTTTATCCTATTATGAATATATCGAGTTTTTCGCTGCGCTTTGAAGTTGACCTGACACCAATGATTTTAGTGATTTTTTTATCTTGGATACGAGTAAATGACATTCCTTTCATAGCTTTGCATTTTCTTACCTCTTGCGAAGGGACGCAAAGAAAATGCGCCATGTACAAAGCAAACGCTAGGAATCAGTGAGGGAAACACAGTGTTGGACTATGTATATCTAATACTTAGCAAAATAGCACAAAAAATTTTCATAATTGAGCAAAAATTGAGCATTTTAATTGAAAAAATTGAGCATTTTAATCCAGCGAGGCCATATTCTTCATGTTTCCTGTTCCAAAAAATCATGATCATTACTGTGGCTCTAAGTTAAAATATAATCGACGCCTGTTAGTCATCTCCTTAAATATCACTGACTCAGTTGAGTACTTCTCCTAAATAACTTTTAAAATGGGAGGAGACTGTAGGGAGTTACCGCATTTTTTCTTGTATGTTCTCGTAGTGTAAATGGTTTAGCACATTCAGCTACCAGTTGCAAAATTCATGGTTGGAATTCCAGTGAGAACACAGTTAACTTTTCATATATTTCCTGCCGTGAAAAACCTAAAGGACTTGTCAAAGTCATTGGAGGGAGGCAATTTCTATACATATGAAGAAGAATTTGACACATATGTTGATGTCTCGAGCCCCGTAATATGCTTCATATAACCAATATTAAAAGGATTACTGCTTCAATATCGATAATATGTACTGTTACCTTTCCTTAAAAACATTATGTTTTTCATATGATGTGAAGCTTTTCACTGAAGTTGTAGAATTAATTTTTTAATTCTAAAATTGCTTTCGTCGTTCTAGGCAGAAGATGGAATTTTTTGTTATGGTGTGAATACCAATTCAGAGTGCCTCATCATCAGTATCTTCAGAAGGAGAGATGAAAAAGCTGATGCTTGTATTTACCTAAAATTAGCTTCTGGGAAAACCTACCGTTTGCAAAAGACGGATCATTTCCAACAGTCTTGTACTGATAAAATTGTCTTCTCCTGCGGAGACCTGCAGATGCATTACACTTGTCCCATGAGGAGGTGGAGAATATTTTACAGTGGCTTCTTAAGGTATGAGGAGCATTTGCTTAATTATTAGAAAATTTTTTGATTGAGAATTATGGTATAAAATTTTAAGAAACTTTGCATATGTACGCGGTGTCGGAGAGAATTCCTAAAGTAACACATTTTTAAACGTAATATACATCCCAAAGACTCCTTAAAATTTATGTAGCAAACACCATTACAACTATGAACAAGTCTCCTACGGTAAAAGTAACAGTTACTCTCATAAAAGTCTCATAATTAATTCTCTCATGTGATTATTGTTTTGTTTTTGTAATCGCCCATTTTTAGAGAGACAAAATTGCAAGAAGAAGACGTGGGAAGTTGTGACGTACTTCTCTAAGGCGATCACCTCACAAAAGAGCATAATCAGTTAGAATTTTGGCGGATCCTCTGAGAGAGAATTTTCTCCCCTTGACATTGAATTAAGGCTTTAAAAATTGTTATATTGAAAAATGATTTCATAAATCTTGAGTAAAACACTGTTAATAATTAAAGCATCAGCTTGTTTTCGCAGCATCATGTTCACCTAACGTTTAAAATCTCATGAATACTTATGTACTGCTTCAAAGAGATGAGCAGAAAATTGTTTTATCCAAAATAATATCATTAGGACGTCATGATATATAATTGGCAGAATTCGAAAGTATAACCATACATTGGAAATCCCTAATAGTTCTATTTGCATGGAGCAATACTAAGTTTAACACGTCTTTTTGCAGAAAGAATTCGAAAAATGTGTTAACAGGGTGACTTACAAGAATCAGTTGCTTATCAAGCAGATGATCACCTGGAAAGGGATGAATCCCAAAGTCAAGATGCGAATTTCTTTGGGGCCTTTCAAAGTTAATCTCTCGATTTTGAAAACTACTATACTTGGATGAGAATATTCGTCAAGTGAAAGTCGCTCATATGAAACAAAGAATGCTGATAAAAGATTCGAGTGCAAAATTAAGAGAATATGCATATTATGCCGAATTTCTTAAAAACTAGTGGATAGATTTTAATGACATTTATTTTTAATATATATTTATAACAGAGAAAGAGGTGTACCATTCCAAAGTAATTTTATGTACGTATAATTATCACTAAAGCGCATAGTACACAGATGTGTAAACTCCACTTTGTGATATCGGTCTCAAAATGAGTCTAATATGGGGTTAGTCCCCTCTCCCAGACAGACACATCACGTCACCATCATAATAATCCCTTTCCATGATGGAGGGATGGTATCAAGTTTCAGGCTCTTACCAGATGCGTGTCAGCCAAGAATAAGCCAGGTTGAATTTCGACTTATGTGTAAAACGCACGGACGTTTGGTCCATGCTGTCTGCACCACGCTATCACGCTTTCTTATGTACCTCAGTGAACGGTAACGCAAACAGCGTATTTCATTTCAAAATAATTTTTCAGAGGACGGTAACGCAAACAGCGGGTCTTGGGTCATAGAACCCTAACTCACGAAACCTTCGAGCAACCGTAGACCTTGAAACTCGGATATAGTTGCAACATACAGCTTAAATGAGAAATGTGTGAAGTTATATCAGTCCTGTGTTACTGTGTTGAAAGTGCAGAATAACGATCCTCTGGTCTGGATCTTGGTCGACCTTGCCCATGTCTTTTCGATATAGATCCAGTGTCCTGAAACTGTTTCCACAAATTGCAGATGACACATAGCGTTGCATTGAACTCTGTAGCCACCTGCGCCTATGATTCATCTGCCTCCAATCTGCCAGGAGTTCTCTCTCTCATTCCGTAATCCATACATTCGTGGTTTCTCAAAATGATGGCTGCGACATACGCATTTCTGCCCCAAAATGTCTGATTCTTTAAATCTTTTAGCAGCATATTTGGTCTTCATTTCTGCTTTTTTAAAGTTAATATTTTCTGAAGTCAAAATTTCAGAATTTACTTCCTGCAGGTTATTGTTACGATGTGCAATACATTTCATACAGAACAGAGAAAAATTAATATATCAATTGAGAAAAAATCGAAATGAAAATTTGAAAAAAAATCAGAGAATTATATTTAAAAATAATACTGGGTTGGAAGAATACGCTTAAGACATATTATAATAGACAAATAGTAAGAAATTTAGAACCAGTTTTACACAACCCAAAAGTAGTGAAATTCAGCTTCAGTAAATTAAACAAACAAAACAAAACAAAAAAAAACTTATAAAAGTGTAAAATAGGAATTAAAGAAATGAGAAACTAAAACCTAAAATTACAAAAACCAGAAAAATATAAAAAAAGAGGAAGTAAATTAAATCTGATATGACGTTATCAAGAGGATACATCAGATTCTAAAGCATTTAATTTTATCAATTGTGTGATATTATATATATATGGATGTATGGATTTTGAGAGCAGTCAGCTTATACAATAACAAATTCAATTTTATTCCTTTTCAGGGAGACAAATAACGATAATGATTCTGAAACAGAACGTATGGTGTACATAAAGTTTGCTTTCAGGTAAAACAAAAGTTTTTATTGCTGTTGCTGCAAAATTCTTATCCAATTTTTATTCATATTATATAGTTTTTAATTAAGACACAATAACACGCCGAATAAATACTAATTCAGAAGTCAAACAACAAAAATCAGCGTTATATTTACAAAATTTTCACAGGACTAGTTTCGATGGTTTTACCGAACCACCATCTTCAGCTGCAAAACCGCAAAATGCGGTTTTACGGTTTTGCAGCTGAAGATGGTGGTTCGGTAAAACCATCGAAACTAGTACTGTGAAAATTTTGTAAATATAACGCTGATTTTTGTTGTTTGACTTCTGAATTAGTATATAGTTTTTAGTTAAAAGATTTCCACGGGCTCACCAGTGGCCCAGCGGTAAAAGTCGCTGAGCACTGGTAATTCGTTCGAGGTTCGAATCCCGAGAACCTGCATGGGCTTTTTCGTAGTTTTCCCCATGCGTAACGTGTATACGAACCATCCTCCTTTAAAAAATCCTCCACGAAGGCATTCCTCCTCTTAGACAGATGACCTTCGAAGCTTTGCCGTAATCTCATAAAACTAAAAAAAAATATCCATAGAGCATTCCAATTTTGTTGCTAGCGCTCTCATTGAACAGATGTAAAGAGGGTTTCTTTAAGGAGAGAATAAGTTTCAATTCAGGTAGTTTTCAAAATTCGTCTACTCTAGACTGATTTCTTTTTTATTAGCATATTACGAAGGAAAGTCAGTAAATAAGTCCCAAAAGGCAACTGCAAAACCTAACGAATTTTCAACATAATCTTCATAGTTGTGTATACAAATGCCTCATACTTTTATCAGTGCTGCATTACCAGCTGCATAAAATGTTTTGGGTTTCTGTCTCAGCCACAACATCGTCATCATGTGCAAACCGTTAGACTCCAACATGTATTTTAGTGGACCAAGAAGGTTTTCTACTTTTTTTGTTATAGTGTGAAGTACATTCATCGTATGAATTCCTCCCGAGTCTGCAGAGAATCCCATCTTCGGTATTGAATGAAAATTTTGGAATGGCCTTGAGAAAATTCTCCATTTGCGTACGACATTAGCGACAAACAATGCTTTCCATAAACAAAAAATATTCTTTTGCGAATATCTTTCGCACGATGTCCTTTAGCCTGTCCCCCCCCCAAAAAAAAGAAACAGATAGCAGCCCGCTGCTCCTCTCTTGTACAGTCATCGGCAAAATCAAACTTAACTACGCATTTGTAATTGGTACTTAGTAACTAACAGAAGGAATATCCAGAGCTAAGAGAGTTCTGTTACCTTTTAGCATGCAATAGAAAGTACTAACTTCTTATTTCAAATATATCATGCCAAATTATGAGCTATTTAATGACTATGCATATTTCTCTTCCTTTTGCATTGATCTATGTGACAGGTTACTTGCTTATACTCATGTACTGTATATCCTGTCATGGTTCTGTATCTAAAAATGATACTATTTCTGAAATTATAAATGAACCTCAGGATTGTAAATTATCTTTCTAAGACAGCCACCAGCACAGAAGACTATAACCGGCTGCAACCGTGGTCGGTCGTCATAGGAAAGTTTCACCGTATTTTGCATTGATATAAGATAAATATTAAAACCGTTCATTTCTTTTCAGATGGTTGGCTTCTTCAGACGTGTTTGATTGCACATCAGATTTAAGTTCTCTAACGCTGGCCAAAACTCTGGCAAATGTAGAATGGAGATCATTACACCCTCCTCTTGATAAGTAAAGCTTTTGTTTATTTTAGATTAATCACTTTCTTATTCCGAATTTGAATAAGTAAAAATTATCAGTTCTTTATCAATTAGCAACAGCAATTAATTCGTTCACAATAATTTAGATTTAAGATATATTATTTTTGTTTTTTAAGAAATGTAAAATAAATACTACAGGTATTTTTTACAACTTTTTGAAAAATAAAATATTTTTTTCATTTTATTCTTACGAAACGTAGTTACTTGTTTACATTTCGGTCTTTAAATTATATACCATTAGAAGACATGCATTAAATATTTAGAGAAATGCTGTGTTTTTTCTTGGACAGTGTGAAATTCCACTCTTCTACTTGTCCTCTTTCTAGACGTACAACATGTTATTGTCAATCCCCCGAAACTATAGTCAGCAGCAGTTATCATATAGAGGCTTAACAATCTGAAAGTTAAGACACAAAACAACAACAAAAATCAGCGTTAGAAAACAACAAAAGAAAGAAACAACAAAAATCAGCGTTATATTTTCAAATTTTCACATAACTTTTTAATTAAATTTAATTAAAAAATTTGAGCTTTTGCAGCTGACGATAGTGGTTCGGTAAAACCATCGAAACTAGCCCTGTGAAAATTTGAAAATACAACGCTGATTTTTGTTGTTTGACTTCTGAATTAGAGTCTGAAAGTTGCCAATAGATTTCATTTAATACATTTTATCGAAGTATCGGGCAATGTCTTAGTCTCATGAAGATAGTTAGTTCATTTAGGAGGTCGCAAGCACCTTTTTCGAAATCCCGTTTTCGAAGCATTCGCGGAAATCCAATAGGCAGCGGATTTGAATCATGTTCTAAAGGTTCTAAGCTCTCGTAGTAAGTTTTACAGTGTTTTAACCGTTTGGGTCCAAAGCAGCGCGATCGATTGAGATTTTATGTCGAGACAACCCAGTACATTTCGACCATTGTGGACAACTGACGGTGCACTTGATGTTGATAAATCAAGTGCACATCGATGTAAAATAAACAAAGCGCTATCGCGCCGCTTGGGTCTTTTCGTACTCATTTAGAGAAAGCGCGGTTGCACTGTTTGAGATTCTTTCACAGTTTCTTTTCAATACCCCTGGGACTCAGACGGTTAAAGAGATAATTAATATGCCCCCGTCTAAAAGTTTCAATAAGAACTGACCCTTTTTTTTTTATCGGCTATTTTTTTTTTTTTTTTTTTTTTTTTTTTTTTTTTTTTTTTTAATCACCGCCCACTTTAGTCGAATTCTTCACCGTTTTCTATTCTTCACCGTTTTCTAAATATTCGCGAGAGGCTGATAGAGATCGTACTAAAATTCTGCTTTAATGGTTCGTCTGGAATGGTTCTTTTGAAAAGCTCTACACTCTTCTCAAGAGTAAACGAACATGGCGCCATCTAAGGTTTTTTAGTAAGAACTGAAAGCGGGAAAGCAACAACGGTGACGTGAACCTAAGGTGGGAAATGTGTACTCAACATGGGTGCTGTGAGTGTACCTTTCCGATATAAACGCACCGATTTTTTTAAATTTTGAAAGTTATTTTTCGAAATTCTATGTAGACAGTGACCTTTGTCACAATCAAGGGAGGAAAATTTCATGAAGATCCGAATAAAATGGTAGATTTATATGAATTACATATACATACAGACAAAAGACGAACGCATTTTTCATTTTATACACACACATACTCATATATATATATATTTAAGTATTAACTATTTTGAACTTTCCTCTTCCGTGCAAATATGCACACACACACACATAGAGAGAGAAATCATTTCTTGCAACAGAATAGCAGAGTGAAAAAAACAAACCTGTGTCAGCATGATCATTAAGATAGTTTGAAGAACTGCTTTCTTTTAACTAACATCATTATTACATTAATTTAGCTTTATTAATTACATTAATTTAGCATTTCAATTTATGATTAATTGATCTCGAAACGTAGAGTGAAAATTTTCTAATAGTTTGTTGTAGCAATTGTTTGCATTCTTTCAGATTCAAATGTGCACTGAATTTTTATGTGCAAGCTGGAATCATACATGGAACTGTTACAGTTGATGATAAACAAGATGAATACGAATTGTATTTATTTGGACAGAGAGTAAGGTGCTTAGGTAATACTAATTTAATTTTTTGTGATTCATTTTGTACGGATATATTGCAGTAAACACTCTTAGAAATGCAACTGGGAAAAATTCAATGGTTTTAAAATCTTGTTGTCCTATATACGTAAAAACACATGTAACAAATCAAGCAGAAATTATTTGCTTTGAGTGATAGTTGTAATATAAGAAAAATCAAATTTAAATGAAAAGTGTTTTCACAGCAGTTACGGTGATGTTTCATTAACCAAATGCCGAACAGTAAGTAGTTATAGTATTTATTCCCGTATTGTAACATCAGCCTGTAAAACACTGGGATAAAATTGGAAATGCATACACACTTTTAGCCACTTCAAGAGCTGCCGAAAGAGTACTGAAAATTTTGACGGACAGTAGCCACGCAAGTAATTGAGAATGTATTAAAAAAGACTGGAGCGTACTTAATTCAATGCAGAAAATATTGTTTAATACAGCTTACCGAAAGATAAATCAAACTATTTCTTATGAGGGATCGAATTTTAAAACATATTCAGTGGTTACAGAAGTAAAACTGATTTAAAACAATTGAATAAGGCCAAACTTTGACTTACACTACAGTATGCTAAACTCCATCACAAATTTCTACAGGATTTTTAAGACAGGTATGAACATAACAAGCTTATAACAAAACTGTATCTTTAAAACCGTTATCTCCTTTTTATTAAATACAAAATGTTTGTACTTAAATTACGTGTGGCAGTTATCTAATAATATCCCCCCCCCGCAAAAAAAACATAAGTAGCTTAATTCCTTTTTCGTTAAAAATACAATCCTAAGAGCACTAGTTTTATAAGTGTAGAGTTTACTTGAATGCGGTCAGAAATTAAATGAATTACCATACGTTCATTAAACATAAAAAAACGACGAAAGGAAATAAATGGATAAACAAAAGACTGGTTATGGAAAATATGTTTTTTTAAAGGCAGAGTGAAAGACCCTAATTTAAAATATTAATTTCATTACTAGAATGTGTATATCATGAGAGAATCTAAAAAGAATGTAGTAATCAATTAACTGAATCTTAAAAGTAGAGTACAAATGAATATTAAGAATTCATAATTGTCATACTGTTAGACAATCATAAAGGAAACGGATGTTAAAATGCAATCCATTTGTCGAGATGTTAGCCCATATTATCTACATAAATTTAAAATTAAATAGTATACAGCTGATAAATATTTTTTTTTGATAATTTCTATAGTTCTATGCAAGTTCAATGTAGGCATCTAAAAATTATTAAAAGCGCTGTATAGAAATAAATATATGAAGTTTTAAATATAAAAAACTGATTTCATACAAATATGGCCATACATCAATGCCTTTTATTTATTTCAGGTGATATTACAAGTTTTAAAGATATACAAATTGATCACATGCTAGGACATGTTCACCAAGTATTTATGACACCTATTAATTAATATTCGTATAATGTTGTTGCTAAAGTAATTTGTATTAATAATATTTTCAAAAAGCATATAATAAAAGCTCTCTTAAAATTTCTTTCATATTTCTAGAACGGAGCATATATTTATCTGGCGAAGGCTTCAGTCGCTGATGTTGCAAATAAGTGAGTATTTATTCACATGAGTTTTCATAAGTATAAAGTCTTAATAACTGAATCATGCACTTTTCGGTATTAATTACAACAGAACAATAAATGTACATTATATATATACATATATATAAAAGATAAAAAATATGTAAATCAAAGTAATAGCTTCTTAATTCCCTCTTTCTATTCTAAAAATAGTAATGCCGTTTTCTGCACTGCGTCATATCTAGCTCAGTTTATATCACACGACTTGCATAACGCTAATAACGGGACAAATTCGGAACTTAACTTTCTCTTAATAGGCTGCCATACTTGATTAACTGTACACTTTTGCTTCTAGCACTCTTGCTGTTAAGACTCTGGCGTGCTACTTTTCTCCCTCTCACAATATTTTCAAAAATGTAAATGTTCTTGAACAGGAGTGATTAAAATACCAAGTGAATTGTGTACACAAATGTCAATTGAAATAAAAATGAATATTGAATCATCCTCAGGTGCCATGTTTGCTTTTCGATATGGATCAACAATCTACGCCATCAATATTTCTACATCATCACTACTTCAACGTCCACTTACTTCGTTACAATAAGTCTATTGTTTCTTCACATATATATGTAAAACCTGTGTAAATGCAAAAAAAGGTATCTGTTTTTTAATTTTTAGTAAATTACTGAAAGTATTGATATTTTTCATCATTAACCTGCCAACTCTCAACAATAGTGTTTTTCTTAGATAAGATTTTTCTGCGTTATTCACTGTGCGAAAATAAATACACTAACCGCAATTTAACTTATTGTCAGTACATAGGCCTACGAGAATCCATTACCGCGAGCATCGATACAGAGGTGATTTTATACTTTGAAACGACAGGAGGCATTTTTATGAGAAAAGGATAATTACGTGGTTTAACCCTTTGCGTCACAGTGTGTCACCTAAAACTTTTCTTCTGTACGCACAGAAAAATTGAATGAAAAAGGATTTATAGGTTACTATAGGTTACTCTGAACCTTCTTTATTTATAGCAGATGGCAGCTCAACACAAACCAGTCCATATATTTTAGCCATTAGTTTTTAGACCTCATTTTTTAAAGAAATCTTCCAGATTTTTTTTTTTTTTTTTTTTTTTTTTTTTTTTTGAGGGTATGAAGGAATTGTGTGAAAAGAAATTTTCTATGTTACTTTTTTGGATGTATGCTATTTTATCTAGATTAGTTTAAATTTACCTGAATCGTGCCTAAAATCAAACGGCCACCTAGGTGTGCCAGACCGGGCTCATCGATAATCCAGGACAATTTCGAGTCTGTATTCTTTGTTTTAGCATCTCATCGGTCAGTTCATTGACCAATGCGCGTTTTCAGCACTCTTTTCGAAGCCCTATTCAATCAGGGTCACTTGGGCACACCCACAGAATTAAAATGATAAGTGTTCACAAAATTTTACTTGTGTACTCCTCTAGGCCTAATTAGACTGCCTACCTTTTTTTTTTTTTTTTCAAAATCTCCGATTTTAAATGGTAGCGTGCCGGAAAAGGTTAAAAAGCCGGTTACAATAGAAATAGTCAGTTAAGCACCTGCTGTCGCGTTTTTTTTTTTTTTTTTTTTTTTTTTTTTTTTTTTTCCAGTTCATTGCCGCAAAACAGTTCAAGACTTCCTTCCAGTACAGCAATAATGCTTTTTAAATACAAGTATAATAAATCAAAAACAATAATTTTTAGGAATTAGCCTTTGACTGAGTTGGAAAAGTATAAGCTGATAAAGCTGTTTTATCACTTTATCACTGTCAGACTCAGACTTTTTAGCAGGTGGTAGAGTCTCACTATAATTGCTTTATCTGGCATTATCAACATGTTTCTGTTCGTCTTAAATTAGCTTCGGAATTCATTATTTGAAATAATTTGTATCTCTGAAAGTTAAATACGGCACATTTAAAGGCCTAATCTGCCAAAACAAATGTAAAACCAATTGTAATCATGAAAATAGAAATTCAATGAATCAAAAAGTCGGGTAAGCATGCAAAAAAAATGTTGGATGGCCATAAAAAATTTTTAAACATAAAAATGTATCAAATTGGCAAATAATGTAACAACAAGTGGTAAATAATTTTACAATCTGGAGTAAATTAAATTAAACTATCATTAAAGTTCAATTAATTTCGTTCGCGTCAACTTACAACAGGTATAAAGAAAAAAAAAAAAAAAAAAAAAAAAAACCAGGAAATTGTTATCACTTACTTAAATTTGACTGTTTGAAGTTGTGGCTGGAAAATAATCAGTAGGAATGTAAAGCAGGGTTACTGTTCGTTATTTTTAATCTGGCCAAGTAATATTGGTGGAAGAAGTTCAAACACTTTAAAGAAAAACTGTAATTTCTAAATTGAATAAATAAGTAGATATAGATATTTGGTTTGGTTTATATAACCATATCGCGATGTTTGGTTTGGTTTAGATTATCTGATGTGTCTATGTGTGGTATGGTTTGGTTTATCTGATTATGGCAGAGCGAGAAAAGGCTACTGGCTACGGGAAAGAAAGCCTTCGCGAAAGACTTTACAAACGGAACTTACTCGTATCCACGTTATACATGGGGAAAACGCCCATGCGGGCAGTACTTTGCCCTGGAATCGGACCCAGGTTCAATTCCCAGTGTTTAACGACTTTGCCACTCCGCCGCTGGGCTATGCATTGTGAATCGCAAAACTAAATACATGACACAGTTGCTTAACCAATACATTTTATCTTCATTGTTTCCTAAAATTTATTAAATAGACTTATTTTCGTGAGTAAACAAATAATTAAATAATAATTTTCTTGCCATGTGTTACATAGAATGAACAAAATACTGATAGATTTTCAATATTTTCTTATCATTTACTTTTCTAAGAATGTTTGCTGGATTGCTGTGCAATGTAGACATTGTAATATCCTTTGCTCTTAACCTTACATAAAATGGTTATTTATTATACTCACAATGAGAGTTAAAATTTGATAGTTTCTTCTGTCTCCCTTTACTTGCGTTAAATACTATTATAAGTATAAAATGCAACAATGTAGCCGAAATTTGTTATATGGATATAAATCATTAATTCAAAAAGTCTTTGTCTCGTATTTGCTCTTTTGTATTCCTTCCCATAAAATCTACTTACGTATTCTGGCTATTAGTAAGAAAACTCATTCTTTCTAGAGAATAAGGCGTTTCGATTGTAGATTGAGTAAGCACTGTTGTCATGTGTGTGGTTTCATAAAAGATAGTTCATTCATTTAATATACGCCTGTGTTTTACTATAATAAAAGCAATGTTAATGTTTGAATTATAATATTAAGCTCTAAAAATAGCAAGCTTTGTACTCTTTCTTTTCGTTCTTATGGAATTAAAATATATAATTTCGTAAGATCATAACCTAAATATAAAAATGTATTTTTCTAGAAAGTATCTCAGATTATATTTATGAATAAGAACTTTTACAAATAATACTTTAAGTGCTTTTACAAATGTCATTTGGTAATTTTACGCTAGGGTACAATTTTCAATATTATTTAAAGAATTTTTTTTTCTTATTTCAGTTTCTGTTTTGGTTGTATTGTGCAACCGGACTGTCATCTCAGATCAACGAGACAAGCTACTATAACGATTATAGATTCAAAGGACGTTCGTTCGATAAAAGCATCATTTCAGACTGGTACAAAATATTTTAAATTGCTTTATCCTGGAAAATTTTGCTTTGCATGGTTCTGTTCAGTATTCTTTATTATCGTAAATAAATATACTTTCAGCTATAACTGCGTTTAAATATTTACAATTCTTTCACAAATCTGAATATTTGAATATTTCGTATGTGCCATAGAACAAGCAGATTTTTCTCTCATTCTTATTTTGTGACATATTTCTCGTCACCAGTGTTCCTAATTTTGATCAGAACAAATATAATAAATTGCATATTCTTGTACTGACGGAAAGTCCCGTCGACCACAAGAGACTGCGCCAATCGCGCCAAACAAACAAACAAAAACAAAAAATTACTAAATACAAGGAAAAACAAACGTTGTAGTGTTATTTTATTTAAATTTATTATATTATTATTTATTTATATTTATTTTTTCATTTAAAATTTCCGTTATTTTTTATTAAGGAGATATACTGTAAAAGCAATTATTTTCGCGAGAAAATATAAGTCTGGCGAAATACTTTTTTTTTCGCCTCAAATGATAATAAAAAATCAGAAATTTTTCACTTACCAAACTATCACGTTCCCTTTCGAATTGACACTCGCTTCGCACAAGCCTTAACGTTGCAACGCTATTACTTCTCAGTCTTTAAATAAAGCGCCATTTCGTGGGCATTAAAAAACTTTTTTGAGGCCGGTAAGTAACCATAACTTTAGCAATATTCAACAGCATGCTCTTCTGTAGTAGGCAAGTCCCAAATTTTAATCCAAAATTTTTTTTTTCCCCCGAAAATGCGTGATAGAAAAAAAAAAAAAAAAGCGAATCTTTACTCAAGAATAATAACTAACCCGTGTAATCAAGGTTACACCAAACCCAGCGTGTTTGTAGAAGACTTTTCCATTTTTGGCGAAAAACAGCGTAGTCTGGCGTCTTTTCTTTAATAGGCAAAAATAGTCGACGGATTTTCCGTAAGTACTCATATTCTTATTTGAAATGTTCTTTATAGTTTAAATGTTTTACCTTTGAAGCAAAAAGTGTAAAAATAAATTATGTGTGTTTGTTCTTATTATGCGATGTATTAGTTTTAAAAAGCAATGCAGAACCATCATGCTGATGTAAATTAATATCATTTATACAAAATATAATTAATCGAACCTTTTACAGATCATTTTTACAAACTTCGTGGATCATTCTTCAGCCCACTGCTGCATTTCGTTACCAAAAGAAGAGAAGAAGCCACTTCTTTCAGCAAATTTGACTTTTATATGAATGGTAAAAAAGGAACTGGAATTTATATAGCAAGGTTTGTACAAAACTATTAATACCTGTATTATAGATTTTATTTGATACGGATTGCTCAGAATTTCATTTGATAAACTGTATATTTCTCAAGAATTAAAATTTGTATAAATATTTGAAATACAATACTTGTACATAAATGGTAGCTTTAAAACCTAGAATATTCTTGATGAGCAATTAAATATTCAAACTGCCGATTAATTCTAATTGTGTATCGTATTAATTCTTGTTGAAATATTATGTTTTTTGCTATCAGTTTTCGCGTTTTAAACTTTTAATCTATTATTTTACCAATAGTATAATGTTACATACGTAATGTATAATGCTACATCTGCTACGATCTGTGTCAAAATGCGAAAACATTTTATAGTTAGGACACAATAACATGCCGAACAAATACTAGTTCAGAAGTCAAACAACAAAAATCAGCGTCATATTTTCAAAATTTTTTTCACAGGACTAGTTTTGATCGTTTTACCGAACCACCATCCTCAGCTGCAAAATCGCAAATGAACAAGATAGGAAATAATAATTAGATAAGATAAGCCTGGACAAGAAAAAGCAAGTGACGCCATCTGTTGATGAAACCAGAACTAAAACATAATTTCTTTAAAGGCCGAAGGCAAAGGTGGATTGGAATTAGGATCGTTAACTAGAACAGAAAGTATTTTTTTGATGTGAAATGCTTCTAGAAAATCCAGTTCTCCAATGGAAGATGTTTTTTGAATAATTTTGGCAGCAGAAAAATTGAAAGGGTGATTTTCGGACCAACAATGTTGAGCAACAGAAGACTTCTGTATTTCCTTTTTTCTAACATTTGCCTCATGTTCCTTGACACGAAATTTTAAGGCCAGTTTATTTTGTGGTTTAATTTACTGCATGAACATTATTAATCATGCAGTAAATTAAACCACACTGGCAAGGAATCCAATAAATACCCCAGGAATTCCTATCCGGAATGGGGTCCTTGAGTATGGAACTCGGAATTTTATTGATGGGAAAATAAAGAACCCGAAAGTTGAATTTCTGTAAAATATGTGCAACTTTATAGCTAATTGATGGGAAAGAAGGGAATGACAACAGAATTTTTATAATCTCCTAAAACAAGAGTGTGCCTTTTAGTGTGTTGAGACGAGAATTTTTTAACTGCATGATTAATAATGTTGGGTGAAAAGCCCCTGTCAATAGCTATTGCTTTTAAATAATTTAGTTCTTCAGCTACATGATTTATTTAAAGGTTTATATGTAATAACAGCTGCCATTAATTTTATTTGATCTTAGTTTAAGATTTCAGGATAGTATATAACTCCTTCTTAAAAAATAGAACTAATCTAATTAATTTTAATCCAAGAGTTGTGAGTAATCTATAGCTTACTGAGTAATAAATTAAAAAACTTGTTACTTAAATAATGTAAGAGAGTATAAATAATATGCAACTCCTAATAATGAAAGGCAAATGATCCTACTCGATTTTAATTTAAAAGTTTATGATTAAAATAAAACCTACTGAATATTTTCAGTCTTCACACTTTTTCGAAATCATTAAGGAAATTCCTAAGCCACCAAAATCCCGCAACCATACGGTGACCATATCACTAATTTTGCCTTTTTTCGGCCGTGAAATTACTGCCTTAATTACAGATACATCCTTGTTCAGTACACAAATCGCTTTCTAAATTAACTTACGATTTTCAAAATTTGCATAAATAATTTCATCGTTAGAACGTACTATTCGGCATACTAAAAAGGATTCAATATTTTCGCAATCATATAGTACTTTAGTGCAGTGTTTCTCAGACTGTGGTCTTCGAAGCCTATTTCTGATCGTCCAGATTTTCAAACAATGAAATTCAAATTAGCTGCATATAACACACTATAACTTAAAATCTCAGAGTTTGGAAATTACGTAGCAAACGCCTATCATTTTTTTTTAATTTAATATTTTACGAAATTTATTACCGGTTACCCCGCTTGGAGACTTTCCATTCTAGTCTCAGCAACAAAAGATGGGTTTAAATCACTATGACTGTGGTGTTTCTTATTATTATATGTCTAAACATAGAGAAGCTAAGTAGGAATCGACAGTCTCACCTATCTCAATAATGTAAATAACGTTTATTTAATTTTTAGTTAATAAGATAAAGATGCACAGATCGTTAGGCATTTTACTTCGGAGCAGGAGATATGAAAATATACGATGCCCTTGCCGGGACTCCAAAGCCTACCTAACCTGCCGGTGCTACCCTGATGTGCTTTTTAAAAACCTGCCATACTTTACACTAAGAAACCATGCGTTAAAGTAAAAGAAAAACCTTACACAGATTATTCAGACTCTTATTAGTCTTGAATTATTAAAAACAAATATAAATTTTCAAACAAATATAAAATTCAATTACTTTTAATTAACTGTATTAATAAAATATAAGTATGCTGGGAATAGCTTATAGGCTAAAAAAACTGCTTTCAAGGGAAACAAGGGAAGGCGGCAAAGATAATATGGTCCATAGAATACTCTAATTCATAAAAATGGACCCCACTTGGGAGAGAGGTACATATATTGTAAAATAATTCCATATATGTTTTTATATGTTTCTTGCTTTTCTTACCTTTTACTTTCAGGCGCATTGCACAGATATCGCGACAGAAGCATTCGGACATCTCAGAACCAAAAGCTGTTGTTTCAGGTACAAACATATAAATTTATTCACACATTAAACTTTGGTATTTATGTACTAGCTCTGCGTAAATGATATTATTAAATCACAATCCTTAAATCACAATTAGTGATGTTAGCGTGAATCCATCAACTGAAAGTAGAAAAATACCGCGGCTATGTGAATGTTTGCAAATTTTCGCATGCGTAATATGAACAAAAGCCAATAATTTCTTGAATGAGTTTAACCACGGCATTCCTCGTAAAGAAAGTAGCCTTCGCGCATTTTATCATAATCAATTATGTTAACTGGTACTGGTGACGAAAAGTCGCCAAAGTAGTAATCCTAGCGAAAGAAACTCAAAAGTTTGCAATCCAATTCAATTTACTTAGTGGTTTACTCAGCGATTAATTTAATCTGTGAACAAGCACTGCATCGTGAAATCGTTTTTTATTCAGTAAACTATACATGGTAAATTAACTAGTAAGTGTAACTAATAAGCATCAAAAATTCATTCTGAGCCCTCCTAACTCCAAAATTACTGTTGAAAGAAATAATACTTTTGTACGTAATTTCTTGAATTGAATAATAACTAATTGCACAAGTTATACAGAGCGATATCTTGGAATATATCTTTATCTTTCTAAATATCCGTCTTCTATTAACGAGAGAATATGTGGATGTATTTATCAGTGTTTAAGTGCTTATAACATAATAAAAATTAATTTAAAATTAACCCAGGATGTATAGTCAGTGAATTTCATCAGAATACAGCTAACAATGAATAGTTTAATCTCCATATCTGAAATGTTTTTATTTTAGAATATAAATTCGATATTTCTTCTGCTATAGTTCCGTAAAACCTAGAGACTAGAAAGCATTGTTAATTACAATACAGTACATAAGCGGTGATGAAATCATTAAAGTGTTTTGCAAATATTATAGGAAATAAGTTTTAAATCTACAAAAACAAGGATCTGCAGGTGCAAAACATTTGCAGAACCTAATTACTATGAACCTTCTCACATCGAGCACCCATGTAATATGGCTACCTCTGAGAACGTAAATAAACATCGGTACTGAGCATGGAGTTAAGGCTTAGGCGAACGCAGTCGCATGAAGGCAAGCACCTGAATATGAATACAGTCCTATCCTGCGTGTAATAAGATAAGCAACACGTAGTATTCCATATCATACCACAGTTCTTAAATAGATGCGTGCAATTTTCTCATGAAAAAGCCATCATATACCGAATCATTTTCATAGTAGGTTATTCCACAGTCGGTAAATGGTTGAAAAAATGTGACTGCTGCTTCGGGGCGGAAATGTGAGCTGAAGCTGTAGGAGCGTAGTGGTTGGCAGACATTCGATCCGTGATTGCTAACTGGAAAATACGTGAACGTGATTGCTGCTTTGGGGGCGGAAATGTGAGCTGAAGCTGCAGTGGTTGGCAGACATTCGATCCGTGATTGCTAACTGGAAAATAACGTAAGTGAACAAGCCAATATAACCAGGTTTAGAGGTGGGAGGAGACTGAAATTCAGAATTATACTTTTTTAGAATGGTAATGCCAAAATAAGGGTAAGAAGTATAAATAAAAAGGGTAAGAAGGTAAAGTAACTAGGAATGATAATTAGATACTGTAAATTTAATAAGATTATACTAAAATTTACACGTTTGCACTTGAATCAAAGCAATAATAAAAATACATATACTCTATTAAGCCATGCTGGGTCATTAAGTAAGCAAAAGAAATACTTAACGAGTAATCAATACTGCAGATAATTAAGAAGAGCAAGCAAATTAAACAAGTCGACGGAGAACAGTTCCCGGACTCCTGTTAGTACTGTCAGTGACATTATAATATAACCTTCGCATAGAAGGATTATTAGTATTGCAGAGATTTTTTTAAAGAAATTTTGGCTAATTTTGATATATTCTTCTGAATGGTTAAAATTTTGAATTCCTCATGAATTGAAATATTTCGTATGCAGAAGGTGTTCTATCTTAGAGCAGTATTTTGTAAAATTTCTAATTTTTTAATATGAGTTTTGCAAGCATAACCCCAGACAGGACAGTTGTAAGTGAGTAAGGGACGCAGCATGGCCTTGTATATGAGTAACTTAGTGTCTACGGATAAAACCAAGCTTCGGGGAATTAGGGGACAGCGCTTAGCTTTAGAAACCCGAAACTTAGAAATAATACTATAATGTGGTGAAACTATGAGCTTTTGATCAAGAATAACCCCGAGATAGGTAACCTGCATGGTCCACATAATAGTTATATTATACTTAAAGATATTCCTGTTTATATTTCTCCTCCTGGTAAAAAAACACTGCCTCAGAATTCACTATATTAAATTTTATTTCTCACATCTGGAGCCAAGTTTCCAGTACATCATGTGTAGTTGAAGTGAGTGTATGAACTCAGAGATGCACTTCGAGACATGACCGCTGTATCATCAGCGCACATAACGAGTGTAGTGTTGATGGTATCGGGCATGTCATTTTCATAAATAAGGAATAATACAGGTCCAATTAAAGGCCCTTGTGAGATGCTAACTTGCATTAGGCGAGGCGTATCTATCCTTGTGCTAGGAATTTATTGTGTACATAATGTAGTCCGCGAAACCCAGGACGATTAATTCGTAAAATAATCTCTCCAACCACAGTCGATGAAAGGCTTTAGCAATATCGAGAAATAATGCCCCTGCTTTTAGTGGATTTATAGATGACTTCAATGACTCTGTGAAGTTGATGACCACTTGCATGTTTTCGATGGAACTCGTGTTGCTGTGGAACTAAAATTTGATCTTCAAGGTACTGATTAATTCTCTCTAAGATGGCTGCCTCAGCTATTTTGCTGAGAGCTCAGAGCACGAGGGATCAGGCAGGTCTTTACCAAGCTTCAGTATTGGTGAAATTATTGCAGTTTGCCAGCCAGTCGGAAAGTGCTGAAGTTGCAAGACGTAACTGAAAATTTTTGTAAATTTACAAAGCATAATAATTCCCATGTCCTTGATCATCTTCATATTGACTTGATCCATTGTTCTGGTATTTCGTTTTCGATATATTCCATTATCTCTGAAGGCATAATAACAGGAAGGTTGTTTTATATTTAGAGACTGCGTTCCATATTGAATTATCATCATTGGAAAGAGTAAATATCTGATTCAGCCCCATTGGGCAAACATTAATGAGGGACCTGACCTCGTTATTCAGTTGATTTAATACAAGTTTATCATCTGAGCAGCGTGCCCTCTGAAAAATTTGTATTGCACGATTTCTTGCCTTAATAAGTTCCCTTATGGCAGGACTTTTGAATCTTTGTGCTGTAGACGCTTCTTTACTGTTAACAAGTAATGCCGAATGGAATTCATTAGTAAAGTTTTCAGTAATAACGTCTAACTCAATCCTCGTGTAGAACTGCATATATATCCTATAGAGAACTGCATCTTGTGCACTTGTTAGGAGGTCTTTCCATCATATGTGGATAGCATTGATGAGGGCAGGGGCGACGTTTGTTCAAATTTAAAGGTGTTGGAATTGTGACCAGTTGGTGTTATAGATTTCTTTAAACCTCAACTTCCTTGGCGACAGCAGCAGAAACCTGTCATGAATTGGTTGTTAGATGGCAGAAAAGTTTTCTTCGATATGTTGTTTCACAGCAGAAACTCTTTCTTGAATTTCTCCAACTTTGTCTTCAACCGTGCCTATTCTGCCTTCCATACCATCCAATTTATTTTCAATTATGCGGTTAATTTTTCTTTTCATTTCTTCTTGACCTGCTTCAATCTTTTCTTGAACAGCTTTCATCTCTCTTTTACGGATTCTTGACGAGCTTCCATCTTTGAACAACTTTATCGCTTCTTTAACGGAGTTGACTGCACCCTCCGTCTTTTCTTGAAATGCAGTAAAGGCATTACGAGCTGTCTTAGTTGCTCATTCATTGCTCTGTCCCCGGCATTCAACCTCACTTCTGACACCAAAACGTGCTGCGAGAGTATGGGTTCGTACTAGATTGAATGCATACAGGTCCAATGATAGGTAGATAAAATTTATTTTATCAAAAGAAACACTTCTTTTGATAAAATAAAACACTGGAACTTCTTTTGAAAACACTGGAACTTTCCATAGAGTTACTTGTACAGGTGTTAACTGTATTACAGAGTATAAACAGTAGTTACATTTCAAACTACTTAGAACGTAAACACAGTCGAATGCAAAGTGCATGCAGAAGGCGAAAGTTTCACGGATATCTAAAAAATGTGAATTCGCTCGAAACTAACAACTCATTAACAGAGTTGTTAGTTTAACTAAGAGCTGATTACCTCCATTAACTGAGAGCAGATGCTGTCTCTGGCTTTATACAGCTTTTACTTGACAGCCGAGATATTTCTAGTACTTTCTGCTTCTCAAAATTACTGGAAGGCATATGAAGGCCGAATACGGTTACATAACATTAATTAAGTTACAGAACATCAACAACCATTACAGTTACACAGGGACTGAACCACACCGTTACCAAGGTTTCGAATTTTGGCGATTTCTCTCCAACTTCAGTTCTTAAAAATCAATTCAATTCTTAAAAATCAGTCGCCAAAACCGTTGCCAGCTTTGTGATATCTCGCCACACAAAGCGAGATTTCGCGATTAATTTGGCGAGATACCCATTTATTAAATGTTAACTAGGCATTCCCTGTATTCTTATTTTTCCAGCACAGCATCTTAACTTTATATTTTCTTATTACATTAAACAGAAGAATACAACAATTTCACATATAATTTCACTAAAATTACCCGCATATGTACAAATATCGCATCAATATTAGATCTGTGTACAATTCAGATTTCGCTATTTTCATTTAAATTGCATTGGCGAACAACAATTTTGTTGTCTTTTGTCACTTGTTATAGGCTAACTTTGTTCAAAAAGTAACGTCAAAAGTCAAAAGTAACGTCAAAGTAACGTCAGTTTTTCTCTATCACATCAGCTTTTTAAGGTACAGAATACCCTCTCTTTGTCGTAAAAAAACCTACAAAATATGCCTATACAGGAAAATAAAGAGAAAACATAGCAAATATACTATTCACAGAGACTGGTTTTATTCATACAAATGCGATATGTAGTTACTGCAAATTATATTTTATTCATTCAAATAGTAATCTTTTTTTACCTAGCGGTAAGCATACAAATTAAGGTGAAAATTTTCGCTTATGGCTTTTTCTAGTCGTTTAATCTGTAAACGTTCTCGTTTTGATGCTCCAACAATGGTCAGCCATTATATTTATATCCCATTTGCCTTGGTACCGGCGCTCTATAACCTTCAAATCTTACTGGAATGGCTTAGCCGGCTCATTATTGATTGCACCAAGGATTTTTGGAACGTTATCGAGATGGCTAAAAATTGTAGTATAATGCTCTTGTCGCAACCAAGCATTTTGAAGCTCTCCAAAAGTTTTTAACCGTTTCGCTGCAATTCCGTGCTCGTGTATTTCTAAGAACGTTTTTGATAATATTTTTAATGCCAATCAAGAATTCTTCTGAAGCATTATTATTGTTCCGATTAAACGTTCATCTTCAAGGAGCTACCGAATTTCTAGACTATCAAACATACCGGCCTCTATCTTTACAAATGATAGGCTAGGAAATGCCAAAAAGGAGATACTTCAAACAGTTTCCTTCAATTGGCAAAGCTTTAACCAAATTACTTCATGAGACCCAGTTTTATATGCAGAGGTGGAAATATAATATTTTTTCTGCCAACAAGTGGCTGATGTAGAATATTTGTATCACCAGGTTTCAGGTTAGACCTTGACGGCCCGTTCGACTACACTCAGTGCTTTTCACAAGCTCTGCTCTCCATAAACACGAAAAAAGAACGCTTGGTAAATTCGAGTTGATGACCAAGGAAGAAGCAGATTATTTTTAGGTAATACATGTGATCCACTAGTGCCTGTGATATTACAACAAATCAATGACTCTTCTTATGTCATCATATTCTTCACAGAAACAGAATGTCCTATTGGGAGTGCACCAAATAAATTTCCATAGCGGAGAAGGAGACATTTCAAGCTCAAGTTTGAGCTATTGTTGAAGAATCGCTATGAGTTGCGTTAGAGGCTGAAATTCCCAACTCTTCCATTAAACCACACACGTTTTGGCAATACGCAAATTCATCATCACTTCGAAGGTATTGTATAAATGCCCTTTTTTTTGACCGAAGTAGGATAACCTAGCTCCTTTTTTAAGCAAGTTTTAATCGTGCAGTCTTGATGCTAATATCTCTTGAGCTTCTTTGGCTAGTCTCAAATCTTGTGCCAAATCATTTAACTCATGCTGCTCAAATTCCTCACAAAAGGAATCATCTTCAGTTTCAAAATCTTCGTCTTCAGGTCATTTCGACATTCACGAGAATTGTATTTCTATATTTCCAAAGAGGGTAATTCTTGGAAAACTGGCACTGAGGGGTCACCTTAGTGAGGCGCTGGGCGCGTAGCTGATCGTAAGCTAGGATACTCTATTTTATCTTCGTTTTTCTTGCTAAATACTGACGTTTTCACTATACAAAGTCAGTCCAAGTAGAAGTATAAAAAAGAGCGGAAAAGATAAACTTAACAGAGGGAAGGCTTCAACCAGCTGTATAGGCGAAAGTTGCGCGTAGCTCCTCTAGTTCCTTTTTCAGTTCTGTCAATCACTCATTTCCATACATGACAAAATTTATCTAGAATCGTGAAGGATCATGTTAGAATTCATTATGTTGCAAATATAATTGTTTTTAATTTTTCGATTAGCGGCACCATTGGTCGTCTCTTTCTCTAGTGAGATATGTCAAGCACCCGAAGTAACAGGCGGAAAAGGTTCCTCACTGGGAAAATTAACAGAATTAAGCAGGGATCTTCCCACGGTGAGTCAAGATATTTTCTATAATTTTGAATACTAATTTGTTTTGTGTCATAATACAAACTGCAGTAGCTCTATAAAAAATTAATTTACTTTTTATAGTTTATAGTTCCTAGTGGTGTCGTAGTGACTACATCAGCTTACAAAAGTTTCATTACAATGGAAATTCTTAAAAAAATTGAAATGTTGGAAGATGTTCTTTAGTGAGTATATTTAGTACATGAATTTCGAAAAATTAAGTATTTAAAAAAAAACCTATCTTCATAAATTTTCGTTTCTGTTTATTTCTACTAAATGCATTCAATGTCAGTTGGATGATTAGTGCAAAAGTGGTTGCTTTTAAAACTGGTCTTTATCAGAAGTATAAAAGATACTTACCTTAAGACTCCTAACTACTCTGTAAAAGATAAAAATTTTCTGTCCTCTAACACGTTGCCAGTTTTCTAGCAGCTTACGCATACCAAGAATTGCATTTGATTCTCCTGTGTGTTTTATCGTAATTGAGAAAGCAAGTTTCGATTTGATTTAATTCATTTTGAAAACATTTAATTCAGTTACAGATATAAAACAGCTTTTGTGAGAAGTTAGTCATTTAGCCGTTACTGTCTAAATACAAATGCCAGAGGATGATAAATATTGTCAAAGATTGCCACCCTGCGCATCAATAGGGGGAGGCAAATTCAGCACCCGCTTCTTGGAAGCTAATAAGATATGCATTTTTGTATCAAATCATTTATATTGCAATGCGTATTTTTATGTTGAAGCAATAAACTACTTGTCAACGACCTCAAATTAAGTAATTAAATAAAAATTTGTTGATATTATTATTATAAATTTTTGATCGTTTAAATATTATTTATCTATTTGAGGAATGTAGGGTATTACACTGTAAGAAACTAGGCAGATTAAAATACTTATAAATAAATTAATTCATAAAATTATCTTCTAAAAACAATGGAAAAGAGTACTTTTATGGTGGTTTTTACATGTAATAACCTAAAGAAACTCTGCCATAATCAGCACTTTAGGCATACAGGGTGTCCCATAGATATTGATGCAAACTTTAAGGGCGGATAGGGCATGTCAAAAAGATTGATAACTGCATAGTAACCGATGACCGCAAACATTATGGTACGCCATTATCCTGTTGCTCACAGTGTTTTGGCAGCGACTACATAGTCAGGCCTTATTTGTTACCATCAGCAAATTAGTTCACCTTTTTTTACTTTGTGCCACGAAATGGGAGGCGCAACATGGGTTTTCAACATGATGGAAGATGTGTTTAGAGCCACTGAATGTGTCGTTTAATCAACAACGGATTGGGCGTGATGGACTGTCTGCCTGGCCCCCAAGCTCTCTAGGTTTCAGCAACATGGATTTCTTCCTGTAGAGAGTACTTAAAGCTGCCGTATATGAAACACCTGTCGAATCTGAAATGTATTTGGCTTAAGAATCGTCTGTGCTACTGCAAATTTTTATCCAAGCAAATATCTAGGTGGTTTTGACCGTGTCCGCCAGTCCATGGTATATCAGTGTAACGCATGCATAGTTTGTAACAGTTCAAACTTTGAATATCTGTTTTAATATTTTGAAATGGTATCATCTACTACAGTATTATGCAATATTATGAACAATAAATATTTCTAGTAACCTCTGTCTTCTGTCCCTTCATTTATTGTACCTCTGACACCGCGTTCCAAGACCAGAAAAGGTCATGAGTTGCTATGCAATTCTTACTCTCTTTGATGTCCCCTAGCTACTCTTTTAAGTTTGTATCAATACATATGGAACAACCTACAGCTGTGATGTTAAAATGGCTGCTCACCTGGATACATATAAATATTTTTTTGTTTCATGTTACACTGTCTATAGAGTAAGACTGAAGTTTCATCAACTGAATACAATTTCTGGGTGAATGTGAATACCTATAATCAAAAGTAAATAAATTTCCCATAATCAAAGCGGCTACAATAAAATTGACTCTGTTCAAACTTACTTACAATCTTTGTGAAAGATGTATTTCGTTGAAATTTAATATTTGTTTTATTTGGGCAACGAGAAAAAAGCAAATTGTAATAAATAAGAATGCTTCGAATTCCGACCACCATCTGAAACGATGAAGTATGAAGAATATAAAACAGAAATTGGAAATATAAAATTTATTTAATCACAGCGTTTGCTTAAGGTTCATTCCACTTACATCAAACATTTTCCCCAAAGTATTTTATAGCATGTTCAACATCAGAAGGAAGGTTTTCTTGAGGAATTGTAGCAGCACGGAATGTTATGCTTGGTATCACTCCAGGCAGAATCCACGGTCTTTTCTGCACAGACGCGGACTCAAAAATTTCGCAATCAGTAATCACAGTGATTTAACCCCGGAGAACGAAGAAGCCAGACATTCAGAAAGTTTCTCGAAATTATTGGATTATATCCAAAGTGAGCACAAAATAGTTCCTTCACTTGATGGATGAGATGGGATTTTGCACCATCTCACGTGTAGACAATAGTCTCGAAGCATTCCTATTACTTACAGACTAGAATGACGTACTACTGCTGAAGTTCTCCGTAATGGGCATATATAGTAATGGATACATCTTTTAGAGCCTTGAGGAGTACTCTAAGAATACGGAGCCAAAAATTAACTTAGTAGGAAACTACACCATATAGTCACGTAATCAGAATGCAAAAGCTGTTCATGCACAGCAGTGGTACCTGAAGTAACGCATAACGCAACAGTATGAGAGTTCACTAGTCCGCTAAAGGCAAAATGAGCCTCGTCTGACCATAAAAGGCCATGCATTGTCAACGGTTGTCCTCGCTAAACACTGGTAAGCAAAATAAGTTCGTTGATGCGAATTTTGAAACTGCAACTTTTGCACCATGTGGATATTCTATGGATAGCACTTTGAAATCGATGATAAAAACTTTTCGTACTGTATAAATCACATGACACCTCTCAATCACATCAGTAGGAATAACAGGAACAGGATACTTTGTCAAGAACTACTGCATCAGCGACTTCTTCCACAGTTTCATTTTAAATCCCTTTTCCGCCCTCTTCCCATCAACATACCTACCTACCCAGGTTTTTCAAATTTAGCTATTTTCTTTCCAAACAATTCTTGGACTTAGGCCGTTTTCGCAAGCCTTTCCAGACGTCGGGTATTCTAGCAGTGCAACTGAACTATCACAGTCGTTCTAATAAAATTGTTTGACGAATAAAAATAGATCCATCTTTTCAAAAGACACCATTAATAATGATCATTTTACAGCGTTGACTACTTCCGTTTTAAAGGTTCTTAATTCAAACGCATATCGCTATCTAATGGTCGAAGTCTGAACTATTATTTTTTTTATTGCAATTTTCTTTTCATGTCATTCATATAATATTTTCAACGATATACTTTAATGCTTCGTTCAGACGACAGTTTTTTGTCATAAAGCATTATAGTGTAAGGCATAAAAGTCATTAAGTCCATTTACACCCCTTTAGTAGGGTTTAAGTCACAGCCAGTCAGGAAAGGTAAAGTTGTGCATGCTTAAACGTGTAGCCGACTCAGTGAAATTATTGACCAATGTTTGGTTCCCTGTTATTGATCGGCTGTTATACGAAATGGCATAAAGTTGAAAGTTAGATCATTGAGGCAAAATCCTTAAACACGCTTGTGGCGTAACAAGGTCTAGTTGTCTAACAACGAAGCTCGGCTTAGGCGACTTTTTTTTAACCACCGTGTGAATGAAGCTTAACCAGAAAGGGCTCTAATAGGTCCGAGTATCTAATAGGTTTATCACTTTCATTATAAAACCGCTCGGTATTCATATGATTTTGTAGATGATAAAGTGAAAAATCGTGGCCTATACACGTTTTATGAAATTTTCTTATCCTTAAATTGTTAGTAAAATTGATATGAATGGTATTAAACAAAACTTAGAATTGCATCCATAAATCCAGTTCTAATTTTCTAATATTTTTTGTTTCGGTTTTTTACTTCAAATAGTGGGAGAACTGAAGGAAATGTTAAAGAAGTCTGTGAAAGGTAATCATATTTTCCACTAGTAAGTCTTTTGAACAATAACTAATATTAATTGTCTTCATTTGGCACAATGCAACTTTCTCCGCTTAATTTTAGCTTATATGCAGATATTACGAGAACTGAGTTTTCTAGAGAAACTAGGGAGGCCATTGAAATCTGTTTGAAGAGAACCTTTGGAGAAAAATTTCAATCGAAAAAATTTGCCATTCGATCTTCAGCTACTGGTATGTCGTTTCCTCAAGCTTCCTTGAATATTGTAGCCTTATGTTAATATAGATTGCGTTAACAAGACGGTTTATTAGGATTAATTCAAATTTTGTTCCTTGAATTCAGGTGAAGACACCGAACAAATGTCTGCTGCTGGTCAGATGGACACTTTCTTAGGCATCTCAGGAATAAAGGAAGTAAGCATTAACTTTGTGTTAATTTCATAACCTGTTTCAATTTGTAAATAATTATACGCTATCTTACATGCATATAAAACATTTATCATAGGAATTCTTTTAATTTTTTATAGTTATAGGTTTTTCTTCATAAACAGAGCTAAGAATCCTGCTTTAATTCTGAAAACTTCATTAATTGGAAAACATATTCGAAATTAGATATAGTTTTGCACTAACATCGTTTGCTCTAAAAATAAATAAATAGAGGAAAACCTAATCGAAGCATCATGTTAAGCAAAAAAAAGGTCTAAGCTCAGACTTCACACTAGCAGAGCAGCAATGAAAATTTGCCTCACTCTGTTGGAAAACATCGTCAAGCATTATAATGACAGCATTCTGCAGGAGTTATTTGCGCGCATTATTAAACACTGAAGCGCCACAAAATAGAGTTCAACTGCTTGTTCTCCTAAACGAGTACAGATGGAGCCACTAGACAAATAAGATATCGCAGCGAAAAATGCGTAAATTTTAATGAAAAATCTGTTAATTTCGATGTCTATACAGAACTATACAGAATAAGTTTTTAATTTTCTCTTACATTATTATACCTGAGATCTTTGACTTAACTGCGTAGCAACTGATATGTCTTTATGCGAATTATTGCCTCTGCCATCTATAAATTAAGATTATGTCTTAAAAAAGAAAAGAGTAAACATAACTATGACTATCGTTTATATATCCTAACTTAAATTTGACCGACTGGGAGTAATACATAATCAACAGGTACAGATCAGTTAATACAGATTATTAACTGAAGAAATGTTGTAGTAAAATTTAATATTATAGATTGACGCTAATTTAGAAAAAGGCATTTAGCATTTCAGGAGAATATGGTACAGATATCTCTTCTTCAAGAAACAAATTAGCCTACTTTATAATATTTTCTCGCTCGCCTGTCCGAATCAGAAACGTCTATAATAATGTCTTTCCAAATTTTCTTTCAAATCGTTACGTTACGTTTCCATGGTACTGATTATAACCATAGTACCATACAACAATATGAGTATATTAAGTATTTGTTTAACTTTTATTATGTATGTATTACACGCTATAGTACCTGTTACAGTATAAATATTGCTCAGTTTTTTTAATAACTCACTTAAAACAAAAATATTTCTTTCTTTAAGATTCTACAGGCAATCAAAAAGTGTTGGGCCTCACAGTTTGGATATATTGCTATTCAGTATAAAAGGTTTGTATCAGGGTGAAAGTTTTAAACAATATAATGAATTTTATATATCTTATCTATTTAAATACTCCCGCACAAGAAAATTAGTCTTTTTTCTTTCAGTATTAGAAAGTTACTTTCTTCAGATCTCTTAATGAAAATGTATAGCTAAATAATGCAAGCGAATTTTTAGATTAGATTGATATTAATACAGTATAGCTCTGTTTGTACAACTTGCAAAGGATTCTACTAACAAGAAAAAATATATTCGGAATTTCAATTTAAGAATGTGGTACGTGTAGTTTAATTGCATAATTTACCACTATTAATATTATAAAAAATTATTTTATCGTAGCTTTGCTTAATCTGTTTAAAATACTACCTGTATTTTTAAAAGGTTAAAATACTTTATTTCTAAATTCATAATAGTTCATCAATGTATAATATTTAATACAGAAGTTTAAGAAGCCCCTACCTTCATTTCAGTTACTCATCTTAATTAAAGAGCCTTTTTATCTTAAAAAAAAATAACTAGTTACGAGCCTTAATTTCTTCTGAAGAATTTTTACCCGTCGTTTCATTTTAATTAGAAATAGTAACACATACATATATAGACAAATTTACAAACATAAAGTCAGAATTTTTACACTTCATTTTTTCATTTTGTAAATTAATGAAAGCAGTTTTCCCGCCATTACGTCTGCATAAATATTAAAGCAAAAAATATTACGATTAAATACAAAAGCAAAGGTAATTAAAAATTCATTATTCATTTACCGAACAAGGAATAAAACAAAAATGAATGCTAGTCTTTCTTAGCAAGTTATTGAAGTCAATATTACTTCCTTCATACAAGTAATTTTCAAATTTTATCACTTCAAAAATATATAAAGTGTTAATTTTGTTGTGATTATTTTTAAACTCTTACGGTCTTCAGAAAACAAAGTATTAAAAATCGTTAAAAATATGTCAATATTGAAGTACTTTATGAAGAAACAGAAAGGAAAATGAAATTCCATAGCATTGCTGATAAAAACATACCTATTTGATATTTAGCCCAGGTCCAAAATGACCTTTCCATGAATGGAATTACCGATTTCTTAGAAACTGTGGACTATAATTTTATCAATTTATGTGGAATGATACATAAACACAAAGGAAAAAAATTAAGAGCTCTGCATATGTTACAAAACTGTAGTATGAAACAATAAAAGTGGTAATAATATATTACAAAGAAAGTTCAGAAAAAAAATAATAACACAAAAATCAAGGCATTTAATATGGAATATGATCTTCTTTGACATGTACAAACATATCGCAACATTTTTCAAGCTAGCAAAAACGCTGTTTATCACATTTAGGTGAATTAAGTCCACTCTTCAGCAATGCAGCATCCAAAACACTTATATTACTAGGAGAAGGATGACTCCGTGAAATTGCGTTTCCAAGATAGTCCCTAAGTTCACTATCGGGCTCAGATCAGTAGATTTTGCTGGCCATGGTATTCTCTCAGTGTCCATTTTCAAGGAATTCATCCGCGAGTATTGCTTACTGTTGAAGAGTATTGCCGCTCCTTAATAAAAATTCAGATCCATATACACCTCTGAAAAATCTTACTTCAGGTTTCGAGAACGCAGCCCTCGATATCCGGCTTGTCAGAGAGCCGTTGTTGCAAATGTGTAGGACGTACGGCCATAGATCATTATTCTGCCCTATATCATCACAGCTGCATTGGAGGAACGATTACGTTATATAATGTTCGTTCATGATTCTCTCCAGATGTACACACGTTTAGAATCAGACATTAAACAAATCCTAGACTCATCAGTATAAAGAGAACATGAAACAACGGGTATTCACTCTTCACTCTCACTTGTGATGTTCTTTGCTTCCATTTAAGCGATCCCTCTTTTGTTGAGAAGGCGATAAAAACGTATTTGATGGCTTTCTGGCATAAAGACCTTTTTCATTGAGCTTTTTGTATGCAATTTTTCATGATACAACAGTTCCAATTGCGGCAGTAAGTTCTAAACGTAACTACCAAGTAGCAGACTACGTGTTACGATGGGATAGTTCTTGCCAGATATCGATCTTCTTAACAGTTATTATTCGTTTACGACCTTATTCAAGCCTCCTTACAACAGTTCCAGAGTTTTGAAATCTGTTTTCATAGCATGGAGACTATCTGTCTAAATATATTCCCGCATCTTACCGTTTCCATAATTGTCTGTCCTGCTTCTACACGCCTTCGACGATTTGCGACTTCACGTTCTTCCAAATGATACTTCGAATACATAGCAAATCACTTTTAGTCCTTACTCAGAGGCACTGCAGAAATTCACTCAGATATTCACTTTGCTCAAAGGCACTTTATTCAGAGGCAAATAGCGTAATACTTTGATTTACTTTGTCTTTTACGTATTTCCTGGAAAAATTAATTACATTGATTCCGCATTTCATGCAATATGACTGACTATCTTTGTATATGTAAAGATAAATTTGAACATAAGTTGGTTTTAGATAAGGATAAAATAAAAAAATAAATTTTTAACTAATTATTTTAGTTGCTTAGTTTCACGGTCCCATGATTCATTCATATTCATATTTTGATTTTGATTTGCCTTAACCCCTAAATGAGATGAACGGACCACAGCATTCCACACAATACCGTTTGAAGAGTACTACAATACACTGTATTTTTATGACACTGTCTTTATAAAAATTTTCACTTTTATATTCCAAAATGAAATATTTCGCAATAAAGCTCAGGTTCTTCCTCCTTTAATATCGCTCTTTAATATCGCCATGTGTTAAGGAAAATGTATTTAGTTATTTAATCTTCAATTGCAGGCGTTATGGTCAGTACCTGAATTCTCCCATGGCTGTGGTCATTCAGGAGATGGTGGCCTGTGATGTTGCCGGGGTTCTTTTCACTTGTGATCCTTTGACAGGGAATCCAACAGTTATGACCATAACCGCCAACTATGGTTTAGGAGAGGTGTGTTTCTAATATTTAATTTTTAATATTTATACATAATGCTTAAATAATTATTTTTTTGTGTAATAATCTAATGTAATGTCAATAAAGCACTATTTATAATCCGTAACAGATAAAAAATGTACTCAATTCCGATGTACGAAAGATTTTACTAGGGATAACTTATACAGTTAGCTCAAAAATCCCATTATTCCAAGAGAAGTTAAAATAACACAGAAAAAAGGAATAATTTGTGATTAAAGTAAAACTACTATTAAAAATTTATCTGTACTTTAGAGCAATTTATTCTTGAAAGGTTTGTTACGAAAATAAAATCATTATTCAAGATAAAAAGAACGCATCTCAAATAATGAAAAAATAAACATCAGTAAAATGAATAAACTGAGACATAAATAACATTAAAGGATGCTATTTACAACAGAATTTAACCGATATATTGAATTCAGAATTCTGGAAAAAATGTCACTTAGAACTTACAGTTTTTTAATTGTATAATATTTATACATTTCAGATCACATACAATAAAATGAAACACTGTTTGTAAGTTAAATACACTCCCGAACGCTTTGGCATCATAGGCTGTCACTGATATTTACCCCATGCAATTTTCTCGCTGTCATTCCTACGGACAATTTTGTTTTACGCTGATGATTTATGGTAGTAATTTTTCCATCATTCTAGAATAAATAATTAAATTATTCAAGCACAACTAATATCTTTCAAATGTTGCGCAGAATCTAGCTGAGTAAATTTTCACTACTAACTAAGCTATTTTCTGAAAAGAAACAGACTCAAGTATTCAACAAAAATTAAATGTAAATTTAATTTACCTCACGACTTGTGAGGCTAAAATAAAAAATATTTCACAACAAAGTTACTAGTCGCCTTGATCTGGTAGTGAACACAAAACTTGCCTTTAAAAGTGTAGCATTTAAAATATCTAATTACTTACTAATTGGAGCTAATAAAAACTACTAATCGGAGCTAATATAAACTATCTAATTACTTTCTAATTAATTTAAAAAACCGACTGCAAACAGCTACTCAGAATTTGAAATTAGCAGCCAAGCACGTCTTGAGTTCTAGTTTCGGTGAGGCAGCGGATGCTCATTAAGTAACACACTGAATAGGCAGGCAACCAAAGGGGGTTAGTCCAAACTCTCATACGGTTACGAGCTACTCCTACTCCTCTAACATTACACTAAAGTGCTTGCTATTCAAATATGCATAATCTCTAGAATGAGAGAGTATGTGACGAAATGGAGTAATAGAAAAGACGTAAATTGAAATCAAATTAGTTAGTGAAATTCAGATACATTATTACTACAACATGGCCAGAAGTAAACGAATATTTCCCCTAAACTAGATACCAGTATCAAGTTTTTAACTCATAATAAAAATTCAATTAACAAATGAATAGTTTCGATTTTTATAAGAATGATTTTGATTTTTATAAGCTTTACATGTTTCAAACGAAAGAAGCTGGCAAATGACTTTCAATATCTTTAGATATTGCGAGATGCCACGATAGAATAAATTATACATTGTCTGTTCAGAAAAAATTCGAACAATCCGCCTTTTTTGGTGTTTGGTAAGCCTTACATTTGTTAACCGATAACTTAAATTTGTATAACCGTTTTTATTTACCAGAGCAGCACTTGCCCGAGCAGTTATTACAATTATTTCAGCTCAGTGTTTTTAATCCGCATTCTGTGGAAACAATAATAATTGCCAGGAATTCTGTCTTTCTAAAACTATTTACGATACAATTCAAAATACTAGAAATCAGCATTATAAATTCATTTCGTAAATATACTTCTTTATCTCTATAAAAATGTATATAAAAATGGTGGAATATCATAACCTTGTTAATGAAGTTTTGCAATCTGACTAATCCTTCTGAGTATACTCATTTTCTCATTCTTCTTTAATTTGGAAAAGTGATAAAAATTTATCATATATAAGTGTCAGATGTAAAGAGAGTATCGATAACGGAGAGTTTGCAGCCAGGAAGCGGAACAAGCCCGAAGTCGGGTCCAATATGTACGGATTGCAACATGCAATCAGTAAACCGATGAAGCAGAGGATCGAGATAAGAGACTTATCTTTTACTGATTTTCCGGCGATATCTTTTCTTAACTTATAAGGCATCATTTAAGTTTCTAAGCAGTTATTTTATGTTAATTTTCTATCCTATCCTATCTCCCTAATTTTTATTTTCCTGCCAGAATGTAAATTTCTGGCTCGCGCAGTATTCAAATGAGGAAGAAAGAAGAGACTATTTAAAGTAAGGTTTTAGAGAGTACAATCGAGCGTGTTCTGCGTGTTTGAAGACTACGTTGTTAAATGTGCCTTTGCTATTAGTATCTGCGGCGTTGAGTTATTCTTGTCATTAGGTTTGTTTAAGCCGACCTTAGGTCAGAGCCAGCTTGTGCGCTATTTCAATTGTAAAGCTTTCAGGCTAACTTATTTTCATTATCTTTATTTCATCCATTATCTTAAAGTTAAGCAACAATTGTTGGATTCGTAAGCATGAGTAGATGCCGACTGTTAAACTTTATTTGAGTTAATAAAAGGTCATTTACACCCTTTCCCTGTCTCTGTGGTACTTACAATATACAGTGATAATTAGCAGATTATCTTTTAAAAGTTTGGATCTATATTGTTTTACCAAATAGCACCAAATTCTGTAAACTTAAATTTAAGGATTTTAGGTTTGTATTTTTCTTCACATATGCCATACCATAAATATTTATTCATACGTAAAATTCCCGCTTTTAATTTCACCATTCATTGCTTATTCGCATACACTTTCCTCAATTTTAAATGTAAAATCTTAGTTATTTTTGCGCATTTTATCCAATATACAATTTAACTTATTTTTATTATATTTTGTTTCCTGTCATAACTATATATTTTAGTTTTCGTAATTTTAATTTTATTAAGTTATTTTATTGTTTTATTTCCTTTTACACAGAATTGCTTTCATACCTTTTAACCAACACAATCTCAGTTTTAACTTACATCTTATTATTTGAGCACATACGTGACTGTAATTTTGATTAATTAATAAAAATAATGACTTTTATGTAATTTGTACAATTATTAGTTAGGCTAGAAGTTAAAAAAGAGAGATTTGGTTGAAATTTTTTTTTTTTTTTTTTTTTTTTTTTTTTTCTCCCTGAAACTATCTGTTTTGAGTGAGATAGTTAGAGTTTTCTTTAGCGACTTGTTTGGGATTTTCAAACACCGCCGAGAGCGGTGTTTAGCATTTAGTATTGAATTATGAGAAAGTTGTGCAATTTGAAGAAGAAAAGGGGGGGAAGAATGAGATGAAGAGGTAAGAACGTGAATGACAGCTTCGTGCGTGAAGACCGGCTGAACCAAATACTAAATGAGCGAGGAGATAGATGAAGATGAACGTACCAAATTTCCAGACCTAGCGATGTCGAGTTTTCCGAAGTTATGAGGTCTTGGTCGACAATCAACGATACCTTTTCAAGACTTTTATATTTAATATGTGTGCAGCAGATTGAGCGTAAACGTATTAAAGATTTCCTGATTTAGTGATGCCGATTTCCCAAAATTAGGCATCCTTGGACGAAGATCAACGAAAGCTTTCGAGAGTGTTAATGAATGAATGTAGGAAGAGTAGAGATGAAAGTGCAAAATTTCCAGTCTTAGTGGCTTAAAAAATCGGCTTCCTACGATGTGATATGCCATGATCTGGACTCTGCAGTGTTACGTAATTTGCTATTTAATTACGTTACTCTCAGTCTGCGGAGGATAAATGACTTTCAGTTTAATTTGACAAGTGAAATTCAACAATTTAGAACTCCGAAGTGTGTAGTCGAGTTGTAACGTCCAGTCCTTTCTTTCAGTGTAAAATTTGTTTGGGAAATTTTATTTCTTTCTTATCTGATGATAAAAAAGAAATAAAATTTTATATCTTTTTTTTTCTTAGATGAAACTAAGTTCTTGGAATTTTCTTGTGTATTTAATATTTTAAATGTGGTCCTTAAATCCTGTTCTTGTCAGTATAGTTAAGAAATTGAATACTGCACTATATTGATCGAACTTGGGTTTATTTGTCAATTGCGGTTGTATTGTACTTGATGGTCAATTGTTTGTTAGGGAGTTAGTTTAAAAGTATGTAGTTAATTTTTTTAGTTTAAAAATATGTAGTTAATTTTTAAAAAATATGTAGTTAATTTTTTAGTTTAAAAATATGTAGTTAATTTTTAAGTGATTAGTTCGCACTGAATATTCTACACAACGAGCTGTGGATGTAGTTAACAATCACAATAAAGGGGTAAATCATGTATTTTCCTTTGAAATCATGCTACTCTCTCCGAATTACGTGCCAGGCAAATTCAAAGCGTTTGATAACTAAACAGCATTCCTAGAAGAAAATTTTATATCCAGTTTTTTCGCTTATACTTTTTTTAATTGCACACGCATTCATGAGACATTTATACATTTTGATCACTTGGTAGTTCTTCATAACAGCCTAAGCCAAAGCAAAGCTACTTAAGCCATCCCAAACAAATGAAAAGCTTACATCGATTAATTTTGCGTACTTGGCTGTAATTCAAAAAAAAATTTCGTTTGAGATTATCTGTCTGATGTTTTGCAGTCCGTGGTATCAGGCTCTGAAGAACCCGACACAATCGAACTTCAAAGAGATCACGATGACCGTCTGTCTGTAAAAAGCACAAGCATCGGAGCAAAAAGTAGGAAAATTATTGTGAAGGGTAAGTTGCTTAAATGAAGAATTTCAAATACTAAATATTCTTCCTTTTAAAGAAAACTATTTATTTTCAGTGTTTTTATTTTACTTATTGCGTCCCATGAAAGCGTACTAAAATTAATTTAAAAAGAAACTAAATGTTTTAAACAAAATTAAATGTATCGACTTAAGTTTTTATTTCTTACATCTCTAAAACAGTATTAAACCTATAATTCTTTGATTTAAAGAAATAGTGTTAGGATATGACGTTCTTCCCTTACTTATATTAATCAAATTATTTTTGAAAAGAGTATAAGAAGAAAGATCAGATAACAATACGCAAATGGTGTAATAGATGTTTAATATTAAAACTTACAGTTTCGCTTATATTAGCGTTAGTTCATTCTCTAATGCTATTTCATTATTATTATTATTATCATTCGATACAGTTTTTAAGTTACGAAGCATAGCATGCTTATTAGAGAAGTTATTCAACATCAATCAGCTTAATGTTTGTAAATATTGCAAGACTAGTTTCGATGGTTTAAACACAGAACCACCCTCTTCAGCTACCTACGGGCAAATGATCGAGATAGAACATGGTGATAAGATAAGAATGAGTGGAAAGAAGTTAAGCTACTGGCAACATCTAGTGATGAAACAAAGAACTAAAACATAATTTCCTTAATGGCTAAAGATAGATTGGGACTAGGGTAGTTAACTGCAACAAAAAGATTTTTCTTAATTCGAATCGCGTCTAGAAAATCTAATTCACCAATGAAAATAGTTTCTTATATAATTTCTGCTGAAAAAAAAAAAAAAAAAAAAAAAAAGGAAAGTGTGATTTTCTGACCAGCAGATTTCTGTGTTTCGTTTTTCCTAATATACGCCTCATGTTCTTTAACGCGAAATTTTAAGTCTTTCTTAGTTTATCCAAGGAATTTATATCCGAAATGAGTCCTTAAATATGGAAATGGGAATTTTATTGATGGAAGGAAAAAATAACCGAAACTTAAATTTCTGTAGAATAAGAGCAGTTTTATAGCTAATCGATGGAGACAAAGGAATGACAACAGAATTCTTGTAATCTCCTAAGACGAGAGGAAATCTTTTGACGTGTTGAGATGAGAATTTTTTAGCCGCTTGGTTAATAATGTTGGGTGGAATGCCCCAATCTATATAACTGCTTTTAAGTAATTTAGTTCTTGGTCAAGAGACAGTTTGAAGGAGCAAACGTGAAGTGCACAAAAATAAAGGAATAAAATGAAACTAACGTCTGTTTAGACGAATGATATTATTTGAAGTGTGATGGAAGGCACATCGATGAAGGTTTACGGTAAACAGTAGTGCTGAAGTTGGATATGTTACGTGGGACTAAAATGTCTAGGAATGGAAGAGAATTGTATGTCTCAGTTTGAAAGTGAACTGAGCAGCAAGATCAATGGAATTCATTATTGAAAGAACTTCATTTAAATCCTTTTTATTAACCTCATACAGGGTGATATTTGTAAGACATCGTCTACGTAGAGGAACCATACCGAGAAGTTTAAAGTTTCAAAACATTTTGATTCACAGTAATGCATACAATCATCAGCAAGGATGGGATTAAGAAGGCTTCCCATGGCCAACCCCTCAGATTGCTTGTAAAACGTATTTTGAAAAACAAAATGCTTTTGTTCCAAACAGAGTCTAGTAAGGGAAATTGATGAGCTAATTTCCCTTACTAGACTCTGTTTGAAACAAAGACATTTTGTTTTACAAAATAAGTTTTACAAGCAAACTGAGGAATTGGCCATGGGAAGTCCTCTTAGTTCAATCCTTATTGATATCTACATGCATTATTTATGACTCAAAATTATTTGAAACTTTAAATTTCCCGGGTATTGTTTATCTGTGCAGACAATACTTTTAACCTGTTTGACGGTGTTAAGGATGATTTAAATGAAGTCCTTTCACTAATTAATTCCAATGATCCTACTATTAAGTTCACTTTTGAAATTGAGACATCCAATTCTCTTCCGTTCCTCGACATTTGGTCACATGTGACATATGCAACTGCAGTACTACTATTTACCGTAAACCTTCATCGGTTTGCCTTTCACCACAGTTCAAAACACGTCATCCGACTACACAGTAGTTAACTTCATTTTATTCCTATGTTTTCCATACACTTCCAAGTTTGTTCCTCCAAACTTGCAGACTCCTCTTGATCCAGAAATAAATTATTTAAAGGCAGTTGCTACTGACAGGGTTTCTCACCCACATTATTAACGAAGCAGTTAAAAAAATTCTCATCTCAGCACATCAAAACGCGGACTCTTGTTTTAAGAGATTACAAGAATTTTGTTATCATTATTTTCTTTCTGTCTGATTGTATCCTGAAATTTCTTTGTCTTCCTTGGGTATATGAAAGTTTATTTCGTAATAAATTAATGACTTAGGGAAAATGCAATTTCAGTTGTATTAGTAAGTATACAATACGGAGGGAAAACGTTTAGGCAGTTAGAAATGATAAATCTTTGTAAATAAACGCTAAGATTGTCCTGAGCCGATCAGGGGTTATTGTATAACTGACTCTTTGCTAATTATTGTACTCCGCAAGAACATATGAGGAGAATTTCAATTCTTTATAGCATTTACGAATACAATGAGCCATCTCTAAGATGGGGCCCACCAGCGCCAAGATGGCTGAACACACATAATTCGACTTGGACTCAAATTCCAGCGAGATTTATGGCCAACGTTTCTGCCATAAGTCTGTTATTGATACAAGAATATATTGGTACAGTCTGAATGTATAAATTTACTTGTTTCTAACTATAAAGACATTATTGCTGTACGGCATCATGTTTGCAGTGAGATTTAAAATTTTTTCTACTCCTCCTGATCTAAACTTACAGCTAGTTCTAATTGGAAAATTTTACTGCTCCCGTGAGAAAAGGGTTGCACTTGTTAATGGTTCATGTCTTGAGCACCTTGTAAGGAAAGCAACCTCTCGAAATTATACTCGACTCTATAGTAAAGTAAGCGCTTCTATGTCACAAGAGCACTTTACTGTTACAAACAATCCTACCTTCCTTGCAATTCGAACCGGAGCTCTGGCTAAAGAAGCCGGCATCCCAACCACCATGTGGATAGATTACTGGTATCGCTGCTGTAATAATATACTTGCTCGAAAAACTTTTATAAGCCTATGAACTATTTTAATAAAAACTATGATTAACGATGATTATGATTATTTCAATGGGTATATACTTCAATAGCATGTTGATATTACATTTACATAATAAATTTACCTGTATTGCATGCATGTACTTGAAGAACTCTATAATATAGTCAAACCAAGAAATAAAAATATTGAATTACATAAATATCTTGCTTCATATATATTTAGTATAAACTAAAATATAATTATAATAATTGAATTTACGTTCATCATCAGGGTTATGTAAAGTTTCAATTTATTTTACTCGCACTTGCCTTTTTAATATTAGTAAAATTTGTACGAATTACTTCTCACCTGATTAGATGGAGTAGGCACGGCTTTAGAAGAAGTCTGCGAAGATGAGAAAACTAATTGTTGCTTGACGGATAAAATGATAATGCGACTGGGACAATTTGGAATTGAAGTAAAACTTCTTTGATTTAAGATGAATAATTATCAATGTTACTGTATGTTACCAAATAACTGATGAGTTTTTTCATTCGTAGGTTGAAATGTATTACCTATCTCACAGAGATATTGAATGGGGTTTCTGGAACAACAATCTGTACGTGTTTCAGGTAAGCTACTAAACTAAAGGACTTTTCAAATTATTATGATAACTCATGAAATATTTCTTGTCAATAAATATTCACCAAAATATTTAACTCAAATGTAAAGGTTTATTTTCTTATTACTTCATATTTATCATGCACAAACAGAAAGCTATTCGATGTATAAATGTTAAAAAAGCAATTTTCCCCTGAAATCCTGAAAACTTTCAAGTAACCTATCATCTTATGTTTGATAGAAATTATGATTATGACGTTATATCAAAAAAACAAGTTTAAGCTACAACTCCTCTTTCTCAGACAAGTGACTGAATATTTTAAAACTCATTTTAATCGAAAGTTTCATAATGATTGGCATATGTATTTTTAATAGTAATATCTTTCTTTTTTTCAATATCTAAAGGGGAAAACGCTGTTTTAATTTGGAAACCTTTAATGTGTTTTCTATAGGTACCCTAAACCCATGATGTGAGAGGATACTAGCGCGCTCAAGTAAGGAACGTATTTGAAGGACAGAAAAAAAAAAGCTTTATCGGAACGTGCTAAATTGGAACGTTTGATATTTCATCATGTCTTCCACGTCCTACCGTAATATACAAAATTAACAACAACAGTACTGTAATGAACATGACATATGTAGGGAGAGAGTGTTTTTTCTAATATGCATTTCAGTTTTATTTGATTATAGCGAAACGCATGAAGGCTACCTAAGGAAATGCATACTTTTGTCGAAGGCTGTCTAAGGGGAATTGTCTCGTATCTACGATACATAAGGGGAAGTCACGAAAACGCCTATGCAACAGGCCACTCGATGAGATTCGAGCCTGGATCGAAATACCATTGTTCAGAGACTTTACCGCTAGACCACTAGTTGGTCGTCTAATGCGCGATGCATAGCGATGTTTCCTCCTCACTTTGTTTTCTCCTACTATGTTTTGTACTTCTACTTTTCCCCCTTGCGTAGTTTTTTCTGTAATTCCCTTCAATTCTTAGCTGGTGGGATACACTGCATTTTCTTATTTACTGAGATATGTTTTAAAAACTTTCGCACAATCATTTCAGTGCATGTTATCGAAGGATTTTTAAGGCTGTGTTTTCAAATCCCACTCAGGGCTTAAAAACGAAGAAGTAAAGTTTGCCTTTTTTTTATTCGGAGAATTTTCCAACAATAATTTCGCAGTTATAAGAATTCATGCTGCTACTGCGTACTAATTGCAATGTATGAGTTTCATTTTTTTCGCTCTAAATTCCTTTACTTTTTCTTCTCTTTGTAGTCTCGCCCAGTAACTAGCGGCACAAATGAAACAGTGTTTGAAATAGATCACGAATTTGATTGCCCTCTTCGAACGGAGAATGATTTTTTTTCAGTGGCTAACGTTGGGTAAGTAGCCTGCAATACAATAATATTTACATATGCATTGAAATCTCTTAAAAATAACTAACCATAGGTACAGACTATTTCGATCGCTTGTAAGAGAAGTCACAAAAGGGGAAGTAGAACAGATCTTCAAGAATCTTTTTTAAAGAAAGCACATGGCCCAGACGGTATAAATTGCGCAATCATCTAAATAATATATAAAAGTTTTTTAGCATTCAAAACATTCTAGGTACCCGTTATTTCAAAATCGGGCATGCCATAAAAACATTTCCTTAAACTCTTCAAAGAGTCTGTTAGCCCGGATTCTTATCGACCAGTATGCCTGCTTTCAGCGCTAGGGAAGATTTCTAATAAGTCCTCATAGACCGCTCAAAGCATCACCTACATAAAGCCATAACAATCAGAGGACACCAGTACTGTCTTATGGAAGCGAAATCTACCACACATGCACTCATGACTTTGAGAAACTACATCGCAGAGAACAGGCACAATGGCTACCACAGAGTTATCTTCAGCCTCGAACTTAAGACTGCCATCAATACCTTGGAGTCCCCAGTTAATTAAAATGCACTGAAATAAGCAACATTCCGGCAAACATATATTAAGCCTTCACTAGTTACTTCTAATTATCACTAGTTAGCATTCGCGAGCAGATTATCCTGCATAACAATGGGATCCTTTAGCTCAGACACAAAGGATGCCCAAAAGATCATGCGCCGGCTTAATTTTATGGAATTTCACCTTTCTACTAAATGGCCTGACCACACACAAGTAATAACTTAGGCAGATGATTCCGCCTTCATTGTCCAGGAGAAATCCAGAAACGAGTTGAAGATTAGAACTCAACCTCTCAGCAGATTTATAATTTCTGCAGTACCTTGCAATTGATCATGTGAGAAGACGAATCCAAGGCCCTTATAATTCTAAAAAGGGATTAAAGGGTAACATTAGTCCAAGAATCACTATCAATGACAGCAGGATCAAAACCGTGAAAAAAACTAAACTACTTAGGCCTTCATACCATGAAAGACTGACTTGGATTTCATACATTATGCAAAAGCTCCGACAGTTTAGAGGAAGCAATTTGGAAATTAGTTTGGTTTATTAGGTTACGGCAAAGCACTCTAGGGGTCTGCCTAAGAGCAGGGATGCCTTCGTGGAAGGCTTTCTAAGGGAGCTGGCTTTTATACACCTTACACATGGGAAAAACCAAGGAAACGCCCGTGCAGCCAGATTATTCGAATATCGACCGAAGTACCAGTGTTCAGTGACTTTTACACCCAAGGCCGCTGAGTGGCCCACAATTCGGAACATTTTGCACATGAAAAATTTCATGCACACTTTTGCACATTTAAAAGACACTCTACTCAACTGTTATCAAAAGCATGTTCACTTACGTTGCTTCACTCTGGGCATAACCGATGCACCGGAGGAAAATAAAGCATCGTCTAAGCCTCCACTGCTCATTTGCCCTAAACATCACTAGAGCATTTTGTAGAAAAACTACTTCATTGGTTAATTTCCTGGCAGGTCAAACACTATTACGTATTAGTGCTGAGAATAATATATAAAAGTTCAATCAGTATTTCATCTTCGTACTAACACAAGCTTCTTCGATGAGTGGCATTATACAAACAGTTATGAAATGCCAACGACGACACTGCATCTTCAGCGAACACTTAAAGAGCAAAGTGCAAACATACATCTGCGCCATCATAACATCCCCAGCGACAGCACTCCGACTATATACACGTATGTCTCATGTATGGATGACACACTAGTTCTTCAACATGGAGAAGAAACTCTACACCTATGCAAGCAGATACTATCCGATAACAACACGGTATTCCGGGCAGAAGCAGTAGTTATTCCAGAGCTATGCAGTATATGACTAAGCAAAGCCTATGAAACGTCACAGATAACACGTACTCAACTATCACCACACATCCTCAATAACACAAATCAGACTTACAGAGGCATCAACATCATAACATCACGCTCTTGGTGGTGAAAGCGCATGCTGGGATGAGTGGAAAAGAAAGAAACTTAGCGAAGGAGATAGCATCAGGAAGTATTCATTATCCATAACCAGCAATTTAGCCACGTTTAAACTTAAAAAAACAACTGAAACTCAAGGTAGTACAAATGAAATAGGAAACTGAATGAGATGAATATCAACTAGGCAGTCTCACATACTACTACATCACACAAGTAGATAAAAACGCAACATCACTCTGGATGTCTCCAATAAGAACATCTAGTCACGGGTTGTGGCGAATGGCATAGAGCGATCATTCACCAGCCGCTATGATTGATGAACTCGGGCATAGATTTGAAACCGTAGGAATGAAATACCCGTATCTGTCATCCAAGCTCAGTTCGACTCGATGCCATGCCCGATTACAGTCATTGTTGCTGCCAGAGGTGGCAGCTCTGCGTATTGAATTGTGCAGGCTGTGTACCCAGATCATTTGCAAATTTAATCCTGTCTTCCTCCCATTACAATGTTATACGTAAAATAAATAAGATTCTGCTGTTTGCTTTCCTTCCTGGTTTAGCAATTTTAATGGTCAGTAATGTAAAAAAGATGATCATTGATGCAATCATGTTCAGTCAAAAATAGCATGATGCCGCAGTAGCATTAAGGTAATAGAGACATTATAATTCTTATCTGAGAGACAATGCATTTTCTCACGCCTTTTGCTTACGAATTTGACTCATGAATCTTGTTGATTCCATATTTATCAGCTTCTAAGCATAGTGAAAGTTTATAGAATTTCTAGGTTTTGGGTGGGCATTCTTTTCTTTGACAATTCATTTCACTGCGCTCCACAATAAGCTGTTAGCCATTGTAGTGCTGTTGAGTCGGTAAGATTTTTCAAAAGATGTTGGCACTTAAAAATATGTATTGAATTTCAATTCTATTGCTTTCAGCAACCTAAAGTACAAACCCAGATTCTGAGAGAATGATGGCTTTGGTGAAAGAAGTCCTTAAAGGTGCCTCTAATTAATATATTATTTGCAGTCTGATATTATGGATGTTCTCAGATTCGATTTAATCACATGTTCGTAGTCCTACTGATAGGATCTGATTTATGAAACTCTAGGCCTAAATCTAAGTTTTTCTGATTTCTTTCAATGTAGCAGATATTACTGAAGAGAATAATCTAAAACATTTCGTAGAACAACGTAACAGTTTACCACTTTATTTAAAGTCTTCTACATTCACAAAATACATTTCACCTCTCTATATATTTGTTTTTCTGATTTAAGTTTATTTTCTTCTATGTAAAATACGCAGCTTTTTATTATAAACCAGATTCTTCATCATTATAATCCAAAGTTGTAAAGTACTTTGTTTAAAGTATTTAATTGGTAATTTAAAATTTTCTGCAGAATCATGTATTGTCAGTATCAAAAACGTTTCTATATAATTCTCAATAGTGTTAAAATGAATTTTGTCTACATTCTCTAATTGTTGTTTATTCTAATTATTCAAACTATGTAGTTCTGTTTTACTTCTAGGGAAGTTATGCCTGGAGCTATGTCACCTTTAGGAATAGATTACTTGTTTAAGTCTATCAGCATAGTATTTAATGTGAGTATATAATTAATAGAAATAAAATTCTGTTGTTACTTATGTTACTTGTAATAATATACCTTACTGTACAAAATCTGCAATTGCTTAAAAAATTATTTGAGACCATGTAATCGAATTATCAACGCGCAAGGCTATGTAATACAACAGTATTTCCTGTTTTTGGTGATGCACTTTCATTTTCAAACGCTACTGACCAAGAAAGTCTTAGCAAATTATATAGTACACGTTTACCGGTGTTTGGCTTCGTTGAAACTGGATCGATGCATTGACCTAGATTTCTAGTTCTCACCACATCTCAACATGTTCGTATACCACTCCTTACGAATGAACTGCGAGATCTCAAACTCAGAGAAAAATATCAGCTGAAGAAGGGGTTTTACCATTATTAAGGTGGAGGAATATATCGATATAAAAACCTTCAAATAAATTACGTTCTCTATCAATGTTGCTGAAGTCACGCCGGTATTTACAGTAATATATCTAGTTTTATATATCTACCTAGTAATATATCTAGTAGTAATATAGAGCTTTATTCGCAAGCCTTTTGTGTTACTACGACTTTTGTGGTACTATTCGGAAGCCTTTTGTAGTACTATGTGGTAAATTTTAATAAAACAAAGACATCTGGTAAGGAAGATTACCAAAATCATGGAAAAAGTGTTTGATCTGGGAACTAAAGTTCCAAGAACTTCAGTCTACCATGAAGTATATAAAGTCCTACTCATCAGTAGGAACTTTAGATTAGATTACATCATTAAGAACTTTATTAATATGAACTTCAACCAGAATGAACTTCATGTGATCATTATAAGGAAGTTCATTTACTATGTTTTGTGCCTTTTGTTTTAAGGAAAAACACAATAATTAAATTTTCCTAACCTAAACAAAAAAATTGCTTTATGCATTAGCAGTAAATACCCTAATCTGTAGACTGGTGAATGTATAGAGAAAGATAAAATATAATCATACCATAAGATCTTCCAGAAAAAATGTCATTTTTATTTAGAAAGACATTAGTTAACTTCAAAATTTCAAAGGGATAAAAAATATTAATAAAAAATTATATTTACTTTACTTTACCTGGGTAAAATTTAAAAAAAAAAAGAGAAAAAAAAACCAACATATGATATAATATGTTTATAATATAAAATTTGATATTGCACTCCTATTCAGTTTACGTTTTCATACCTATTACACTCTATTCGTAAATTACATAGATTTTGTTTTAACAAAGGTTACTTGATAACGTTATGGCATAACAAATGTAATATCAACAATATTGCACATATAAAATTAATTAACCAAAAGACATAACAACTTTAACAAATTTCTAGGAGTAAACCAAAATTAAAATTTGAGTAACAAATTCTTGCCAACGGAGTTAAGGAATGGCCTTCTGAAGCCATCTGATACACTAAAAATCAATTAATCATAACAAAATAAATTAACCTTAGCAAATTTAATTAACCTTTACAAAATTAATTACCCTTAACCAAAGTCCATTAGCTTAATTGTCTATTAAGAATTTCCTTTTATTTCTAACAAGTTATTTCTAGTAAGCTTAGCATGGTTAATTATTATTCCCTCAATTATCTAACAAATCGGATTATTTAACTTAACAGGGTTGAACAAAACTGAGAAAGAAGTGTTTTATGACTTCTCTGCATGAATAAGGAACGACGTTGCAGTCACACGAGATTAATATCAACTGGTTACCAAGATCTCCTTCGTGTAGAACCAACGGCTCAGGCAGGCGACGAACAGGAACTTGGCATCAGAGGCGGACCCAGATATGTCCGATAGAAATGTAGAAATGTCCGATAACTCCGGCACTCAAAGATGGAGAATGAGACGCTAACACCAAGACATCACCCAGAAGAACTCACGCCGAGAGACGACGAACGGAGCCAAAAGTTCTATGGAACACTGAAGATGTCATGAAGGCAGGTCACGCAAGCAGCAAGAGAAAAACTAAATTTTTTTCGTTAATCATTGAGCAGCTGACAAAGTCGATGAGGTGACTGAATTTTCGACGATAACTTCGCTGGATACGAAAACTGAATCCGATGATACATTTTAACAAATCAAACAAAGTATGAAACTATGCTGGCTATGAAGGAAAACGTTGAATTTTCTGTTAGAATATCTTTTTGAAGAAATTACTGCAGTTTGGCAACGCAGCAAGATCTCGGGCCGAGGCCACGAGAATCTGCGTCTTCGTCATTCATATTGTGAAACTCAGGGAACAGAGGCCAAGCAAAAAAAAGGCTCTTCCAAAAGTGCAAGTCACTTACATGAAAGAGGGTCAAGAAGAAGGAATTCCCGCGAAAACAACCCCTTTTAGATACGACGGGACTCCCACCTTGGCTAAACCCCCGCCCGAAAAGATGAAAAAACCAGTTGCCGAAAACTCCTGCCTTAAGCCATGCAAAAATTCTACTTTTTCCGCAACGCTGAACTAAAGGCGGAACTCAATTCTCGCCAAATACGCGCCAAGCAAAGGCCACGCCCACGGAGTATAAATTATACTCCGTGGCCACGCCTAAACACATGCACTTGTAAAAATATGGCAACCATACCCGCTCCCTCAAGAAGTCCCAAGGAACTCACATTTTTTCCGTTAAAAGTGAATTCCTCCCCCTTTTAAGCTAAGCAATTGGTTTTGCAAGTTTTACGTTAATTAAATGGTTATAACTTAAATTCTGTTGAAGGTGAAATTATGAAAGTAGTCTCATTAAAGTGCTAATTTTTCTGCATCTATTGATATTAAACTTTAAGGGTTTAACTTAATTTAAGTCATAAAAATCCTAGTTTATTGCGTGAAAATTTACCAAGATCCATTGTGTGAGTAATCGCGAATACAAGGAAGAACGAATGACGCTAGCTAAATATTTTCGTGCTAAATCAGATAAATAATTTACCAAACAATACCAAATAATTAATTGAACAAATACATGTTGTGTAGCATAAAATTTAGAATAATTAATACATTAAATTTTGATAGCTGAAATTAGATTAATTACGTTAATTTGCTACACAACAACTATATGAATTTATGAAATATATGACCTTATACTCATGGAATTCACTTTTGAAATTATACTTATGAACTATGAACTTATGAGCACATGAATTTTACGAGCTTCATAAACTATATTTAAAATTAAGAAAAATGTCAAAATAATTATTTGGTTAAATTATGTATACATACATACACTATATGTTTATCAATTTACTTATACTATGTTTATGTTTTATTATTTATACTAGAAATTTATTATTTTACTTATACTATGTTTATGTTATATTATGTATACTATATGTTTATTACTTTACTATAAGGTGTATACTTTATAGGTGTATTGAAACCAGGAAAATTATTCTCAAAATTCTCATGTAAATTTAAACACACTATATTAATGTATATATATATATATGTATTTCATTGTCTTCAGCTGTAAGACTGTATGTATGCCATTGTATAACTATATGTATCTCGCTATGTAATAATATCAAAATTTTCAATAAATTACCACTAGGGACAACTGGCTGTAGGGCCCATGCATCAGATGATGGGTCTCTACGGTTGGTGCAAGCCGCCTAAGTGTGCCCCCATTTACCATCTAGGTGCTCCTAAACAATGGTGGATGTGGTGCAATACCAACTAACCATAATGGTAAAGGCATGATGATCACGTCCTCCGTCACCTATCACCTGTGGTACTACGATCTTCACTGAATAAGTAAAGATATTATTGGTGCCTTTGTTGTCAGCTGTTTGGACAATATCTGCCTGTCATCTAATGCGTTCTTGCAGATAACATGTCTGATCATTAAAGGCACAAACAGCAGAATGAAGTGTATCTGTCTTTTAAGAAGCACTGCATAAACTGAAGTCCTAACTTGAGATGATCGATATTATGCTGTTTTTTCCTCATCTTAAATCTGGTGTAATCGTTGAATAGTGATATTCTTTCATTAAGTTAAGAAATATCTCTCTTCTACGCAAGAAGCTTATGCAAAACGTTTTCGCTACTGAATGTAAAAAGCATCAAATATCTTGGTATTACAATAGACCAGAAACTCTCTTGGATTCTGCACTTTAAGAACATCTAAAACACCGTACAAATTCAATAGTCACAGCCTTACATCGTACGTGAGGTTTCGGATGGGGTTTAAATTCCTATTTAATGAAGATACTAGTTAAAAAGTTGATCTTCAAAATGTTTACATTAGGAGCGGCAATATGTGTTCATCCGTCAACTGCAATGAAATAAGAATACTTAGAGCGATATAAAGATCCTTTTTATTGAAAAACATTAGAGCCTTCAGAACGACTAGTCCTAAATGTTCTTTCGGAAGTAATTTCCCTCAACATACTCAACAGAAACTAAAGTTGCATATACTAAAGTTCCCCAACTAAAACAAAGTGTGGAATTGAGAGGGCAATTGTTGATCATAGATGATTTCGAGCAAAAACCTCTTTCCCTATCAAAACCATCCGGCAACTTCTGCAAACAAAATGCAATTTAGCATAATATCTCCAGTAAATTTCACTATTTCGTTGGGATACCTTTCCTACAACAACAGCGTTTTCCAAGCAGAATTAGCCACCATACAAACAGAAATATCCTATGCAAATAAATTATACCTGAAGAACCTAAATGTTCACGCCGGCAGCCAGGTAGCACTCTTGGCTATCAAACTTCCAATGAACTTCTCGCCAGTAGTATAGAACATTAATAATATCTCAACCCAATGTGAAATCAACTGCTCAGTATCCTGGGTAGGAGGGCACTCCGGCCATCAAGATAATGAGAAGGCTAATGAACTTCCAAAGCAAGCACCTCAAATGCAAATAGGTTCATTAGTCAGCTTGCCCTGGCAGTGCTGTCATCTAAAGTACAAACTGAAGAAAACAGTACTGGAAAGTTTGTAACAAGAATGTAACTACTCCGCTCTAGATGGGAGAGCAACACACGATTCCTTCACAAAAAT